GACATTAAAGGAAGTACTTTTAAGTAATTCTAAAAGGAAACTGTATTTTAACCTTGAGAAGTTTTACTGTTAACTGCTTCCATCTATTGACAGTGTTCTGCGAAATTATAAATTAATAACTGTAAATAAGCAGTAAGCAAACTGAAATGTTAATATAAGTACCCTTTGCAATAAGAAATTACTATTTTCGACACACCCATTCATTTATTATTCAATTAGCGCAGGTAATTTTGACATTTTTTTTTGCAAAATTATTCTGGGTATTTTGTTATTAACAGCGCAGAACTGGTAAATAATGTTGAAGTACGACGAAATCCTTGATCTGCGACGAGGTGGTAATGAACTCCCGATGACGACGAATGGCCTTCTCGTCACCGGGATTTCTCTTTTATTTTGGGGGTCGTCCCGCTTTTTAATCATGCCCATCTTTGGTAATGTTAAAGGTTAAGAGAAATAGATGGATTTCGGTCGTGAAGTTCGTGGTGACACATTCGGAAGATGCGTCACCTTGGAAGAGAAGTTACTCCGGGGTAAAAGATATAATCATATCCTTTAACATTTTTTCAAGTCCGGGCCCTCATATTGTATATTTTCTGCTTATTTTTATGTAAAATATGTATACAGTATATAAGAGATATTTTATTAATAATAAAGTATCATATCTAATGCTTAACATTATTCATGAGTATGCCTGTATCACACATTACTCCTTTCAAAAAAGAGACCATGTTTCTTTGGGTTTAAACAACTTAAGCACTGCACGAGATACTATTTTTGAAATTTTGATAATTTCATATATTTTATGTAAATAACCTGTTAAATAAAGTTTAACNGCCTTCTCGTCACCGGGATTTCTCTTTTATTTTGGGGGTCGTCCCGCTTTTTAATCATGCCCATCTTTGGTAATGTTAAAGGTTAAGAGAAATAGATGGATTTCGGTCGTGAAGTTCGTGGTGACACATTCGGAAGATGCGTCACCTTGGAAGAGAAGTTACTCCGGGGTAAAAGATATAATCATATCCTTTAACATTTTTTCAAGTCCGGGCCCTCATATTGTATATTTTCTGCTTATTTTTATGTAAAATATGTATACAGTATATAAGAGATATTTTATTAATAATAAAGTATCATATCTAATGCTTAACATTAGGGAATTTCCCTGACAATTTACAGAATCTGTGAGATAGAATATGTAATTTCCACTTTTAGGTTTAAACAACTTAAGCACTGCACGAGATACTATTTTTGAAATTTTGATAATTTCATATATTTTATGTAAATAACCTGTTAAATAAAGTTTAACGAAAAGCATAAATCTGGGAGAATAGAAAAGAAAGTAGCAAGATCCCATTAGTGACACACTTTCTTTCGAACGACATCTCTTCCCAGAAAAATAGGAAAGAAATTTCAGGTCGGTCCATCCGATTTTACATGCCAACTCAGAGAAAAGACGAAACCAATGGTCAAAAAAGATAGCAGACCAATTTAGTCAGAAAGCCCTTTGTTACCTTGAGAAGATTCTGCTTCCTCTTATCGTACTGAGAATGTTTGATTCAACTAAATAAATACGCATTTCTTCTGACATGTATCTACAAAGGAACTAACTCTACAGATATTTATGTCAACTCTCTCTTTCTATCCCGCGAAATTAGGAGTAAATAGAACACAAATTAATGCAGAATATAGTAATGTATATAGTAAATCTAAATAATCAGAATGCTTCCTTAAACGACAACACGTTACAGTAGTGCATTAATATTAAATACAGTTTATATTGTTAATTTAACTTTGTATAAACTATACTGTAGACTAATTACAAAAGAATAATGTATAGTATTACTTGACAGGCAACGTATGGAATGACACAAAATGAAAATATATTCAAAGAGATATTAAAGGGTATGACAATTTACAAACAATTCACCTGAAACTGAAACAACAGAACTATTATTAATAAATCACTATTTTTATGAGAATCAAGAATGTTGCAAAGTTACTTATTTTTACAAAAACTGTGATATTTCGAATTGCATTTTATGTTCTTTGAGCGATATTTGCATTTTTTATCAATACAGTATTTTTTATAAACCCTTGTTTAATTCCAAATGCTAGCATCAATGCTGAGCGAAGTGTTAACGAAAACGAGTGTACAGTACGTAGTGAATGTTAACAAAGTTACTCTCAAAAATTGTAAATTCATTACGAGCGTAAAACGAATTCTTTACGTAACATGTCTCTTCGACAACTGCATCACAAATGTTGCAGTTGCAGTTACACCTATACAAGTGAAGAAAAATCGTCCTCATTATCGTAATAAAACAATCCATCTTCGGAATCTCATGTCCTTTCTTTCTATCACTCAGTTTCGAACGTATCTCAGTTCGACCCACATCTTTTGTCACGTTTACTTTTGGTCGGTTATAAAAATCAGTTCGGAGATTTGTTATAACAATTTCTTCCGATAAGCCTCTGTCTAATCCTCTATATATTCTACTCCCAATTTATCCCGTATTGTATTCCTGTAATGTTCTAATCTAGTACATCCCAAAAATGTTCTCATAACGTTCACACGCGAGTAAATTTCGATCGTTTAAAATATAATATAGTGTAATGAATTCATTTTAAAAAATAAGAAAAATATCTTACTTTCCCGAAGTGAAGTAAATTCGTAAAGTTTCATCTCACCTCCCAGTTTTTTCTTAACATCTCATACAATTGATAAACATGGAGTACGAAATGCACATTTTACTCCATTCGAGTAACACACATATACATCGGCATTATCACTAACTTCGGTGACCTGANATAAATGTAATTAAAAAATTATATTTAATTACTGTACTTTAAAAAAATAAATGAAAATAATTAAGTTTACATTATGAAATTCATTTAATTAAATTCATTCTATTTTTCAGTTTTGTATTTTTCTAATATAAATAATATTTGTCCTGGAAAGAGAAAAAGAAAAAAATTTAAATGTTTTAAATTATGCAATTTTTCGAGATAATTTTTGTAATGACAAAGCTGAGCTTTATCTCAATCATTTTCATATTTAAAGCAAACTTTTTACTTTACATTAATCACTGCAACAGTTTCCGGAAAGTAATTAGAGAATTTTTATATGCAAAGAGTTAAAAAAACCGCTAAATTTATGTAACTTTTTTTTTTTAATTTCAAATATCGAGAGAATCCTCTCCGTTTATCTTTTTAAAGCCCCTAGTATATTAAAAAAAGTGTTAAAATTGCATTATATTTAAAAAAAATGTATTTTTTCTTAATACACAAGAAATGGAATGGAATGAATAATTTGTAATAAATGATTTTGAGATCTAAACATGAGGCACGAACCAAGTAGTTCTGGCACTTATGAGATGACTCGACTAAACTGATAATTTAATATTAAAAAATTACGAAATAAATATGATCATGTTATTTTAGCTTCTACAAAATTTTGATTTAAAGTTAAATCTAGAATAATCCTGAATAAAATTTTAGTAAAAATAGATTTATATACTAAATATGGCTTGAAAATTCAATTATTATCAGCAAACAAAAAGTCAGAGAAAAGCTGGAAATTATTTTGTGTTTTATTTTATTTTATTTTTTTTTCAATTGTTTAAAATACCAGGCTAAATTCTTATAAATTTTGAGACTAAATTTATTGTTTGTATCTTAATTATCTAAATTATCTTAAAAAAATAAATTGATATTTTAAATTAATTATAAACTAATCAAAATAAACAAACATCTTTTTAAGATGTAACTTAATTAGTTCCTTATCTTGTTAAAGATAAATTACCTTATATAGGGTAACATTTCCCTTATTATTAGTCGCAAAAAATATTTAAAAATGAATAAATTATTTATATGCTATACCAAGGGTGTTAGACTATTTTGAGTGCGCGTGCCATATAATAAGCATAAAATACACAGGTACGGTCTGTTTTGTATGTGTTTCAGAAGTTGATTTCGTCATGGATCGTGCGTTTTAAATTATTTCGAAACAATAGAAAGGTTTATTATAGACAATAAAAATGTAAATGAATTAATATATTTTTTTAACTTTTCCGGCTATTATAACAGAGGAAAAGTATGGCAATGAGGCAAAAGTTGACCCCCCAGATGTTTACATTTTCGGACTTGGATGCCTTGAAAGGTTGAGAAATGCAAACAAATTCGGGGGTAATTTCTATATGTATGAATGCTTTAGTGTATGTATGTGGTACGATTATATTCACCCTGTTTGAAGCTTAATAACTCCTGTGCTTTTTGTCGAAACTTTCTGAAATTTTCAGGGTGGTTTACTCATGAGGGGGATTGATGCTGTTAAAGGTCGAAGGGTAAGGAGAAACGGGGACCATAATGACGATTTTACACGTTATTAGCACATACATTTTTTTTTTTTATAAAACTCATTCCTACCCTCAAAATTCAGATTTTTGTCATTATAACAGTTAAGAATATAAAAAGATTATTAAATAAAATACGATAATGACCTGAGCCTACGATAAACTGGAAAATCTACGACCCTTCCTATTATCCTCTGTATCTTTTCCATTTTGAATACAATTGTCAAAAGGGGAGTGAGACTGTTTTGTGATTCACCGCGGTGTAAATTACTAAAAATGTTAAGAAACATTGCTTTATGTGGATTTTATATAAGATTAAGAATGTTTTTGGGGGTAGTTTCATCTTACAATATTTTCTATCTGGGTACTCGGTAAACATAACCAAATGTACAATATAATAACGTGGGTGTGTGTATATACATTATAATGACGTGTTGTGTGATTGTCTCATCCCCATTTACTTTCACCCCAATATCGAAAATTATGAACAATAAAAACGTTTGGTTTCCCATTTCAAAAATATATTAGCATTACTAGAAATTCTCTATTTGTAATTTATAATAAAATATTTTACAGATATATACGATATTTGATAACAGAGTATGAACATATATATAAAATTTTTTTAATAATGTTAGGACAAATGTTGGTTATTTCTGCTTATAACTGTTAATTGAAAAGTAAATTTTATTATTTAAAAATACTAGGCTGATGCAATTCATTTTGCTGGTGTATTTGATATATCCTCATTTAATTTATCCCATTTATATCTGTACAGGAAAAGAGAAGAAACGATTTTCTAATTTAATTTTGCATTCGTCACAATCAAGATTAGAAATTATAAAGAAAAAGTAATAAAAAATATTTAAGTGGTGTCTTAACTTCAAAACAGCTCAATTATTTGCAGATATTTATTAAGATTTGAAACGTTTTCTTTCTGAATGCTAAGACCAATAATGGATTTTGGTCGTTAGAACTTAATTTGTAGTTTTAAGAGAAGTTTAAGCCATTTTTTGACAACTAAAGAAGTGAAAACTATAGAAAGGAAAGAGACTGAAAGTGAGGGGAAAGAGAGAGAGAAAGAGAAACACAGAGAAGAAATTCAATTACACAAGAAGAAAGAGCACGAGAAAGAAAAACAGAGAAAGTGAGTGAGTGAGACAGAGAGAGGAGAGAGAACTTACTAATCAATTAACTAAAACAACTCCAGTTTTTTACCGTTACTACGCTGAATAATCAGAATCAAAACGACGTCTTGGCTTCCGTGCAAAACGAGGCACTAAAGAGGTGCCGCCCCTCCGGTCACAGGACACAGATACCAGTAGAGTAGATCATCCGCCCGGTGTGATAATTTCAATCGCTTTATTTACAGTAGGAAGAGGATCTATGGATCTCCTTACAGAACAAGCTTTTAAGCAACTGCGAAATTCTCAACTTCTCGATCCGGCAGCTAGGAATGACAAAATTAAACACGGCAGCTTCCTTGCGGCAGTCTACATTCCTGAGGAAACCTCGTATATCACCAAAACTGCTTTCTCTTGCTGAGTTAATTACAAACAAGTTGCAAAATAAGTCCGAAAAATGCATTTTATTGTAATTTAAATTATGGAAAATTGTTCTGTGACAAAACTATTATTTCATGATTATTCAAGTAAATTATTAGCTGAAAATTATTGCAGAAAATTATTATTATATATATTAAATAGTTTCACGCGCACTATTTTCATTATCATTTAACCGAATTACAAGATAATTAGATAAAAATATATTGATTGGATAATAATTTCAGTGGAAAATGGTAATCAATATCCGGTGATGCTGAAGAACTGTACAGAAGTTCATATTGGACCGAGAATAGAAATTCATTTTGAAGAACCGAATGCAAGTTGCGTAAAAAAAGAAGATGAAGAAAGGAATGGTAAGTGCGTGTCTTTACAATAAAAATACAAAAGAAAACATCATTATAATTTTAATTTCAGTGTTCTTTTGTGCTGAGAATAAATATTTGTAATTAATTTACCACATTAAAAATTACGTAAATTGTTTAATTGTGAAAATATTTACAGTAACTTAAAAAATTCATACAATAGGTTTCAGTTTTCATTAATTTAGGATTATGAAATTGAATTTTCTGAAAGGCAAATACTTATCTAAAGTAAAACATATTTTGAATTGCATGGTTTTATTATCTCTCTTGTAGTAAACAAAATAGGGCTAATGAAGTGCATTCGAAACGTATACACTCATAGAAGTTTAATGAATTTATGAACAACAAGGTATCCTGCTGGTAGGGGCTAGGGCAGGATAACTGCGCGTGTAGAATGATACTACCAGCAACATACCAATATTCTATAATTTCTGTCATGATGGGGTTGACAGTAGGATAGCCGCTTAGACTGCAGGAGAGAAACTAAGGCAAAATAACTAATGGAATTAGGTGAATTTTGGCATATTCTAAATATATGAAAACGTATCGTACAGTGAAAAAGTGTTATAAGAAAATCCTTTTTTTACCAGTCGACATGGAGGAGTGTAATTTGCTGCTATTTGAATTAGAGGTTACGTAACTTATTGATAATAAATTCTACAAGTAGAAAAAGATCAACTGTTTTACTAATCTAGAAATAATCTGTATGAAATGTATAAAATGCGAAATCGTGTTTCTGAACTGATAACACTGGCGTATGTATTAGCATTATGCAGACCATGAGTGACACGATATAAAAAACAATTTCGGCCAGTTTCTGGTGCAGAATAATGGCATCTGAGTCACACACCTGAAAGAACAAACTTGATCTTTCTTTATATGGGGAATGTGAATGAAAACAGCAGAAAATCTCTTCACGCGTTGACTGACATTTCTAGAACTGAGAGATGAGTCGATGGTCCATACAAGTAGGAACTACCAGGTAATAAAGTTGTTTCTCTGATTATCTGTTTTTTAAGTGTGAAAATAGGTGGCCGAAACGTGGTCTACTTGCCGCAAAGAAACTGCCATGTTTTATTCTGCGATTCCTAACGGCCGGATGGCGAAATTGAGAATTTTGCTGTTGCTTCAAAACTTGTTCTACAAGACGACGTATAGATCGTCTACGAGGACGGTAGAACCTTCGACTACTTACATAAAAGGTACACTACTGCAAAGATTAATGACATACTGGCGCGAGCGCTGGACTCATAGTACAGTAGGTAGGCCATCCTATGCCTTCGTGCCTGTAGTTGGTCTTACTCCGATAAGTTGTTGTTCGATGTCGACTCAAATCTTAACTGGCCATGGGAGGTTCCCCCACTTCAAGTCCAAGTTTGGACAAGGAGATGGTAGCTGCCCCTGTGGTAGTCCTCGCAGAGACGCGAGGCATTACGTACTTGACTGTCCCCTTACAAGGGACTTCCGCCTAGGGGCTGACCAAGTTGACTGGACTAAGCCCTCTGAACAAGTACTTCGAACGCTAGCAGCTAGTAAAAGGAACTTAAAGAAACTAAAGGAATTGATGGGAATAATTATAGATCTTTTCGATCTATAAGCCTAATGTAATTGATATGATGGGTCCCCTCTTCTAATAGGGACATGGTCCCCGCTGTCCGTGTATCTATATACATATATATGTGTCTGAGCTGTAAGTATAGCTGGAAAAGGTTTAGTATTGTGGACCATAGTGCAGTACAGGCTGCACAAAATAAAAGTTATGCCAAGTTAGAGAGCTGGGCCGGGGTATGGACGGGAGCCCGAAAGAAGTATCATAGGGCCCAGCTATGTCGTCCCTGTCTACCGTGTCAGGTACCGACCAGTCGATGAACAAGGCATAGTCTCTTTAACCCTGTATTGCCGTTAGGCGGGGCAGGGAAGGAGTTGCTTTATGAGACTATACATCGTCTTTCTAGTATACTCCAATATTGTACAATAAAGCCATTGAAATTATAAACCCGGAAGATGATCTACTCTACCGGTAGGATAATGCCCATTCAATCATTAATTAAGACGATGCGCGATCAAAAGCTGTTCGCAGTTTCTAATAGAATTGATTAGTCGAATTTAAGAAACACTTTTTAATTTTACATATTATGACACGATAAAATGTGAAATAAAAGAAGTTCTTCCACGATTTCGTTTTGGACATTCAAGGAAGCTATCAGCAGAAACCGCAATATTTTTGTACGTTATTTTTTATAGTAGTGGCAAATGATCGTTGTAGTTGGACCCCGAAATAATATTGTGAGCAAACTAATATGAAGGCTGATTCAAGCAAATTTTCATATGCTTATTACATTAGGAAGCAGCGAAGGATCAATATTCATTTCGAATGATTAGTGGCATATGATATGGTATACCCTTCATATTGTCTGGAATTTTTTTTAGTAAAAACGGATTAAATTTTTGAATATTTCTAAGTAAACTAAAAACAGCTATCATGTTATTTCATTAAATAATGATTTTTTTTGTTTTTTTTTCCTCCAGAAATGTTCAACAGTTGCTGCCAGATGTTGAAAAACAAATACATGACCTACTTTTCCTACATGAGATCCTTTTTGTGGGAAGGCAAGAGGCACGATTTTCCATTAAAGGATTATTTCATAGAATTGAGAGTAGAAAAGGCAGATTTATTTGGCAAGAAAAGCGGGGAGAAAATAAGCTTAAATGAGATATTTTCTATAGAACAAGATGGACACCAAACTATTTTAGTGACTGGAGATCCCGGTTATGGCAAAACCACTCTTTGTAAAAAAATTGTGTACGACTGGGCAACCACGAATTACCTCAAACACTTTGATTTAACTTTTATTGTAATTTTAAGAGAATTGGGCGATAGAAGTGTAAATGATGCATTACTCAATAATATGCACGAATACTCGTCAATTAATAAAGATTGGAAATTTCAAGACAGACAACGGAATATTTTAGTGATTTTGGATGGGTTGGATGAGATTGTAGATAAATCTAAAATTATAACATTTATAAGACAGGAATCTTTATATATTTCTCGTCGAATGACGATTATGGTTACGAGTCGACTTGAAGCAGCAGAAGACATCAGGGAACATATGAACATGAGGTTTTCTATAGAAGGGTTTTCTCCAGAATATCGGAAGAAATATGTTCAATTAATGTTTAAAAAAGACCAGAGTAAAGCAAATGAACTTATTTCTTTACTGGAAGAAACCTATTCTCCAAAAGAAATAGTTCTTCAAAATAAATATGTTCAATTAACGTTTAAAGAAGATAAGAGTGAACCAAATGAACTCATTTCTTCTGCGAAAGATAACGATTTTTACAACGAAATATCCGAATGTCCTCTGATGCTGCACATGTTGTGTTGTCTTCATCAAAATGAAGAAATAAAGAAACTTCAAACGATGACAGATTTATACATTCGAGTATTCTCTTTGATAACTGAACGTTATGTTAGAAAAACAAATCAGAACGGTAAGTTTGAAAGAGGAAAATATTTTCTTGGAGAAAATTTGCTACTGAAATTAGGAGAATTACATACACACTCAAGCTCTATCACATCAGAACAATTGAGGTGCTCTTTTCCAAAAGAAGATGAATACAATTTTGTTATGGGTCTAGACATTCTTACTCCCGATTCCATTTCTCAAAGCGATAATATAATTCGATACAGTTTTGTACATCGCACATTTGGCGAATTTCTATCAGCTTTATTTATGTATATCGGAATTGTTTCATTTCCAAATAATATTGAAGAAACGGAGTTATTATTTTTATTGGGATTTTATAACGAGGAACCTTTACCCAAAAAGGTCTTAACAGATATAGAAGGGAAAATGTTTTCTCCTAAATTCCTGCTTCGCGCTCATAAGGAAATCAAACTGAAAAGAAACTGGCAACAATTCTGTTGTAATGCCAAAGTAATTATTCGTTATTGGAACTGTTTTTGTTATCTCCCAAGGTTATTGGAGCGGTATGAATTCACAACGTTATATTTTCATTTCAGTGAGACATTTGTATTTATTTGGGAAGAACTGGATGACAACACTGAGCATGACCCTCTGTTCCGTTTAATCAGGTCTACTTTAAGAAATAAGACGAAAATGTACGTTCTCCTCACACTTGAGATTACGTTTACAGGAAATGTATATGATATCAGAGAAACTGTTTCACACATGATCGATTTCATTGATGTAATGACCACAAAAAACTTGGACATTTTTCTTATTGGACTAATATTTCCTACGACTACAAAAATCGATAAATTTACGAATGTAAATCTCAATTTGAATTTGTCCGACGATCAGCTGAAATTATTAAAAGTCAGTAAAAATGAAGAATTGGTTGCATTGGAAGTTGAAGTATTCCGAGGAATTTCTGACAGATATGTTATTTCTTTGGAGCAATACGAGACTTTACGTGATCGTATTGTACTTAAATCTGCGAGTAAACAAAATTCAAAATGTGTGATGATGTAGACGAGTGTTAAATATACGACAGAGTTTTGAAATAACAGGAAAGTATAAACTCTGTTTATAAAATGGCGTGTATTTTTCAGTAACGAAGTTAACTGTGAAGAAATAAGTGAGTTGAAACTTTAAACGATATGAGTCGTTAGGTAATGAAATTTTGTTAGTTTACAACGTAGTTTAATTGTAAAATAAATGTTTTTAAGCACATAGTATTACGGTTATGTTTTAAGTTATTTTCCTTTAAAATAGTAATTTACGTTTTTAGTGTAGTATACAGTCGTTTTAAAGTAAATTATTTCTACATTTTTTTGGTTTCAAATAACAAAACGTATAGTGAGTCTAATTCATGTTTTTTTCATTGACAGACAAGACAATGAAATTAGTATAGTTTGTTAATTAAACATTACGAACGACAGGAACGTTGGCTTTTTCAAACAGACTACTTTATTTCAAATTACTTTCGAATTTCTTATAGGAAAAACTGTAAATAACAAATTACACTATTTCTTAAAGCCTACGGGTCACATTTATATTTAAGTGTAAGGATTTCGTGACCGTTTCATATCTTTCATTGGTCTCCGTTAAATCCGTTGATCGATTTCGCATGAAATCTATAAAGTAAATAAAACAATTATCAATACTGATGTTCAGATATTTAATAATGATATTTAGTACTCGAATAAACAAATATTCATAAGTAGAGTAAGAAGTAAGTATGAATAAAGATAAGCAACTTAAAGGAAAACACGTTTTCTGTTATTCGTTTAAGTTAAACATAATCAAATCTTTAATCTCTCCGATAGTTTTAAAACATAGAAAGTAATGTGTTGTTCGAAAGTTAAAGTAAAAAATGTTAAATTTGAACTATAATGTTGGGGCTTCTAATATTCACAACATTCTCTGACTAATAACATTTATAAACTCTTGTTTATTGTACTGAACTTGCAAATTGTTGTGTTTCAAGTGTTTACCTGAACAACTAGTAAAGCTACAGCATGCAAACGTTAAACGTAGTAAAGAAAGTGAACTATAGAATTCGCAATGCTTTGTAAAACTATTCAGAAAGCACTGCGAATTCAATAGTTGTTTTGTAAAGACTATTTATAACTTGTGGTAAACTGCTGTAATATTTGACTCACATGAAGTTATCTAATTTTTTAACAACAGTGGGCTGCAATTTGAAAAAACGTAGACAAATTTCCATTGTCGTCTGTCCGTCAACCGTCACTGGCCCATGTCTATCCTTAAAGGAAAAGTATGATGTACTGATTACTGATCATGATAAATAAAATTGTTTATGGCGCCATATGTTATATGATATGACACAAATTCAGTATCTTTACACAGTCTCTCGACCTTTATTAACCATAATTTAATAGCATTAATGCTTTTTATACACAATTTCGATTTTTTATTATCAATATTTACTCCATCCTAAAATATAAACAGAAATAAACGTTATAATTTCACACAAACTCATGCACAAAGTTCGAAATTGCAAAATTTAAGCGACAAACTCGACAAGATTTCTATATTTTCCCTTGTTTAAGTTTACATAACAGCAGGGAAAGAAGAGCAATAGCCATTTTCTACAGAAATTCTTTTACGTAGCTGCTGATCCATATGCTTAGCTAATGAATGGAAAACTTTTTAACGCATGAGGGGCTAATGCCCGAAACGTTGATGTATGGAAAAAACGTTCTAACTAAATAAAAGATTCAACTAGCACAGTGTTGAGAAAAACGTCACTTCATTGTGCCAGTACACAATAAGCAAATACAACACGGTTTCGACAACATCAACAAATTTTTAACGCATGTTTACAAAATCTATTCGTAATTTTTAACAACAGTACGATCTTAAATATAAACGATTATAAATAATTATTTGTGAGAAACAAGTTTGTAATTATATTTTGAAGAAACAGAAAGATGCAAATTAATAAAGCTTTTCAGTTTATTAATTTTTTTTTTATTTGTAAAAACAAACAGCTATATCACTTCTACTGCATGTAAAATATAATATCCACCACTTATAGCAATCGCACATTGAGCCCCCTTGTCCTTTCTTTAATCACCAAGTAAGCTGTAAAGTTTTATATTGTTTTCAAATTAGTTACTCAGTTTTATTACAGAAAACATTTTGCTGATTACAAAATAAAATACCGTATTTACTTCACTTACTTATTGGGAGCGCCGCTGTATTACATACAATACGTACAGTAAATATAACTTCTATTATTAATATAAAAATATTGATAAGAACAATTCTTTTTCTAGTGTATGATAGTTGTGTCGATAACACTTCTCTAGGAAACCTGTACACAAAATTAACATTTCAGCTTGCTTACTACTTATTTACAGTTATCAATTTATAATTTCGCAGAACACTGTCAATAGATGGAAGCAGTTAACAGTAAAACTTCTCAAGGTTAATGTACAGTTTCGTTTTAGAATTGCGTAAAAGTACTTCCTTTAATGTCTGGGTGAAGTGTATGCTGTTTGTCTGTGTTACTACAGTTAGGACGAGAAGATCAACCGCTTCTTATTAAAATATTTCGAGAGGGAGAAAGGTAGGCCTCACTACTCTCTACTTATGTCGTTGGAGTGGTGTTATCGGTTATCAAGTGGATACGATTATTGATAAAAGTCTAGCCTGGCTGATCAGCGACCGCTCGCGTGACCGAGTTAGTAAGTAATTAAACCCAATTCGCCATTGGCTTGTGTCGAACGGGACACAGTGACGTTGCATCGAAGCGGTGTTGACTCTCCGATCACAGATAAGTTATCCTCTGATAAACAACTTTGTTACTCTTTCGTATGGTTTATTCGTTTACAATGAGACGTTTAAATATCCTTTTATTTTCCGCGGATTTTACTCTTTCGGCTGTTATAACAGAAGGACAGTATGGGACTCTGGCATAATTTATATTCCAGATTTATACATTTTCGGACATAGGACAGCTTGAACGTCGAATAATGCAAAAAAATATTCGGAGTAATTTCTGAATGTATGGGTGTTAGTGCTTGTGTGGCACATGTATGTTCACACTGTTGGTCTGTGAAAACGATAAAAAAAATCGTGTCAAAAAATTATATTATTATTAAGTCTTTTATAGCTTCAAATATGTTCACACTGTTTGAAGCTTAATAAGTCCTGTGCTTCGTGTCGAAAATTATTGAACTTTTGCAAGAAGGTTTGTTTATTTGGAAGATTCACATTGTTAAATTTTGATGGATAAAGGTCGAGGAGGTAGGGAGAAAATGGGGCTCATGTGTATCTCCAGTAGGGTGGGACATAATCACGATTTTACTCATTATTAGCATTTAGAATTTTTTGTTTATAAAACTCATTCCTACGCTTAAAATTAAGCATTTTGCCATTTTATAACAGTTAATTTAAAAATAAAAAGATGTTTTTTAAATGAAACATGATAACAGATTTCGACAGTAAAGTTTTAAATGTTGCCGGGAAAGTTAAGCAACTCGTTGCTGGTTTATTTAAACTAGCTGCACATAATGTGATACATAAAGTGGTGTAGAAGGTTTGTTTATCATTTGAACTCAAAGTTGAAAAAGAGAAGTTAAAGTTTAAAAAATAACATAAAAACGACAAAGAAAACAGTGTTAAGTTTACAAAGTTAATAAACAAAGTTAAGTTTATTTATTATAGACAGTTCAGCCGCATTTCCTGCAATATGATTTATCCGTTTAGCTCTCACTTTGAAGAAAAGCTTTGATCTAACTTTCCTCAAACCCAAAATGCATAAAATATTAGTTATGTGTCTAATTATATATCACATAATTATAGTACAAACAGAAATGAATTCCTTAAGGAGTGGAAACGTGGTGAGTATTCCAAAAAATGTTAACTGCTTTATACTAACATTTATAATTATTTTGTGGTTGAAGTTTAGAAATGCGAATTCTTTGTAAATTATCTGCTTTTAATAAAAGCCATTTCTATCGATTAAGATTAGTGTTTCTTTACGTGGAGTGCCTTCCAGTGGGATTAAATGTGGTAACATTTGGATTTAACTTTTCGATGCCTAATATAAAATTACGAGATGTATTATGATGTATAAATTTTACTAGACTTAGTGGATAGTCTCAGAGCCCAGGATAAAATGGAAACTCAACGACTATGTCCGGGACTCTTCCCACCATTCTCTGTACCATTGCCACCATTAACAGAGATTTCAGTCGAATACGAGACCCTCTTTTTGTGATTCGATGCTTTGTTGATTACTACAAATGTTAATATTAAAATCTAACCAGGGAATTTCAAAAGTACAGTATACTGTTGGGAATATGTCAGATACGTAATTTTTTTAGTTGGTTACATTCAGAGCATTTCAAGCAAATTTTCATATGCTTTTATTACTAGGAAGCAGCGAAAGAACAAAATTCATTTCGAATGATTAGTGGCATATGATATGGTATACCCTTCATATTGTCTGGAATTTTTTTTAGTAAAAACGGATTAAATTTTTGAATATTTCTAAGTAAACTAAAAACAGCTATCATGTTATTTCATTAAATAATGATTTTTTTTGTTTTTTTTTCCTCCAGAAATGTTCAACAGTTGCTGCCAGATGTTGAAAAACAAATACATGACCTACTTTTCCTACATGAGATCCTTTTTGTGGGAAGGCAAGAGGCACGATTTTCCATTAAAGGATTATTTCATAGAATTGAGAGTAGAAAAGGCAGATTTATTTGGCAAGAAAAGCGGGGAGAAAATAAGCTTAAATGAGATATTTTCTATAGAACAAGATGGACACCAAACTATTTTAGTGACTGGAGATCCCGGTTATGGCAAAACCACTCTTTGTAAAAAAATTGTGTACGACTGGGCAACCACGAATTACCTCAAACACTTTGATTTAACTTTTATTGTAATTTTAAGAGAATTGGGCGATAGAAGTGTAAATGATGCATTACTCAATAATATGCACGAATACTCGTCAATTAATAAAGATTGGAAATTTCAAGACAGACAACGGAATATTTTAGTGATTTTGGATGGGTTGGATGAGATTGTAGATAAATCTAAAATTATAACATTTATAAGACAGGAATCTTTATATATTTCTCGTCGAATGACGATTATGGTTACGAGTCGACTTGAAGCAGCAGAAGACATCAGGGAACATATGAACATGAGGTTTTCTATAGAAGGGTTTTCTCCAGAATATCGGAAGAAATATGTTCAATTAATGTTTAAAAAAGACCAGAGTAAAGCAAATGAACTTATTTCTTTACTGGAAGAAACCTATTCTCCAAAAGAAATAGTTCTTCAAAATAAATATGTTCAATTAACGTTTAAAGAAGATAAGAGTGAACCAAATGAACTCATTTCTTCTGCGAAAGATAACGATTTTTACAACGAAATATCCGAATGTCCTCTGATGCTGCACATGTTGTGTTGTCTTCATCAAAATGAAGAAATAAAGAAACTTCAAACGATGACAGATTTATACATTCGAGTATTCTCTTTGATAACTGAACGTTATGTTAGAAAAACAAATCAGAACGGTAAGTTTGAAAGAGGAAAATATTTTCTTGGAGAAAATTTGCTACTGAAATTAGGAGAATTACATACACACTCAAGCTCTATCACATCAGAACAATTGAGGTGCTCTTTTCCTAAAGAAGATGAATACAATTTTGTTATGGGTCTGGACATTCTTACTCTGGATTCCTTTTCTCAATGCGATAATATAATTCGATACAGTTTTGTACATTGCACATTTGGCGAATTTCTGTCAGCTTTATTTATGTATATCGGAATTGTTTCATTTCCAAATAATATTGAAGAAACGGAGTTATTATTTTTATTGGGATTTTATAATGATGATCCTTTACCCAAAAAGGTCTTAACAGATATAGAAGGGAAAATGTTTTCTCTTAAATTCCTGTTTCGCGCTCATAAGGAAATCAAACTGAAAAGAAACTGGCAACAATTCTGTTGTAATGCCAAAGTAATTATTCGTTATTGGAACTGTTTTTGTTATCTCCCAAGGTTATTGGAGCGGTATGAATTCACAACGTTATATTTTCATTTCAGTGAGACATTTGTATTTATTTGGGAAGAACTGGATGACAACACTGAGTATGACCCTCTGTTCTGTTTAATCAGGTATACTTTAAAAAATAAGACGAAGATGTACGTTCTCCTCACACTTGAGGAGAACGTACATCTTGAGATTACGTTTACAAGAAATGTATACGATATCAGAGAAACTGTTTCACACATGATCGATTTCATTGATGTAATGACCACAAAAAACTTGGACATTTTTCTTATTGGATTAATATCGCGTACGTCTACAGAAATCAGTAGATTCACGAATGTAAAACTCAATTTGAATTTGTCTGACGACCAGCTGAAATTATTAAAAGTCAGTAAAAATGAAGAATTGGTTGCATTGGAAGTTGAAGTATTCCGAGGAATTTCTGACAGATATGTTATTTCTTTGGAGCAATACGAGACTTTACGTGATCGTATTGTACTTAAATCTGCGAGTAAACAAAATTCAAAATGTGTGATGATGTAGACGAGTGTTAAATATACGACAGAGTTTTGAAATAACAGGAAAGTATAAACTCTGTTTATAAAATGGCGTGTATTTTTCAGTAACGAAGTTAACTGTGAAGAAATAAGTGAGTTGAAACTTTAAACGATATGAGTCGTTAGGTAATGAAATTTTGTTAGTTTACAACGTAGTTTAATTGTAAAATAAATGTTTTTAAGCACATAGTATTACGGTTATGTTTTAAGTTATTTTCCTTTAAAATAGTAATTTACGTTTTTAGTGTAGTATACAGTCGTTTTAAAGTAAATTATTTCTACATTTTTTTGGTTTCAAATAACAAAACGTATAGTGAGTCTAATTCATGTTTTTTTCATTGACAGACAAGACAATGAAATTAGTATAGTTTGTTAATTAAACATTACGAACGACAGGAACGTTGGCTTTTTCAAACAGACTACTTTATTTCAAATTACTTTCGAATTTCTTATAGGAAAAACTGTAAATAACAAATTACACTATTTCTTAAAGCCTACGGGTCACATTTATATTTAAGTGTAAGGATTTCGTGACCGTTTCATATCTTTCATTGGTCTCCGTTAAATCCGTTGATCGATTTCGCATGAAATCTATAAAGTAAATAAAACAATTATCAATACTGATGTTCAGATATTTAATAATGATATTTAGTACTCGAATAAACAAATATTCATAAGTAGAGTAAGAAGTAAGTATGAATAAAGATAAGCAACTTAAAGGAAAACACGTTTTCTGTTATTCGTTTAAGTTAAACATAATCAAATCTTTAATCTCTCCGATAGTTTTAAAACATAGAAAGTAATGTGTTGTTCGAAAGTTAAAGTAAAAAATGTTAAATTTGAACTATAATGTTGGGGCTTCTAATATTCACAACATTCTCTGACTAATAACATTTATAAACTCTTGTTTATTGTACTGAACTTGCAAATTGTTGTGTTTCAAGTGTTTACCTGAACAACTAGTAAAGCTACAGCATGCAAACGTTAAACGTAGTAAAGAAAGTGAACTATAGAATTCGCAATGCTTTGTAAAACTATTCAGAAAGCACTGCGAATTCAATAGTTGTTTTGTAAAGACTATTTATAACTTGTGGTAAACTGCTGTAATATTTGACTCACATGAAGTTATCTAATTTTTTAACAACAGTGGGCTGCAATTTGAAAAAACGTAGACAAATTTCCATTGTCGTCTGTCCGTCAACCGTCACTGGCCCATGTCTATCCTTAAAGGAAAAGTATGATGTACTGATTACTGATCATGATAAATAAAATTGTTTATGGCGCCATATGTTATATGATATGACACAAATTCAGTATCTTTACACAGTCTCTCGACCTTTATTAACCATAATTTAATAGCATTAATGCTTTTTATACACAATTTCGATTTTTTATTATCAATATTTACTCCATCCTAAAATATAAACAGAAATAAACGTTATAATTTCACACAAACTCATGCACAAAGTTCGAAATTGCAAAATTTAAGCGACAAACTCGACAAGATTTCTATATTTTCCCTTGTTTAAGTTTACATAACAGCAGGGAAAGAAGAGCAATAGCCATTTTCTACAGAAATTCTTTTACGTAGCTGCTGATCCATATGCTTAGCTAATGAATGGAAAACTTTTTAACGCATGAGGGGCTAATGCCCGAAACGTTGATGTATGGAAAAAACGTTCTAACTAAATAAAAGATTCAACTAGCACAGTGTTGAGAAAAACGTCACTTCATTGTGCCAGTACACAATAAGCAAATACAACACGGTTTCGACAACATCAACAAATTTTTAACGCATGTTTACAAAATCTATTCGTAATTTTTAACAACAGTACGATCTTAAATATAAACGATTATAAATAATTATTTGTGAGAAACAAGTTTGTAATTATATTTTGAAGAAACAGAAAGATGCAAATTAATAAAGCTTTTCAGTTTATTAATTTTTTTTTTATTTGTAAAAACAAACAGCTATATCACTTCTACTGCATGTAAAATATAATATCCACCACTTATAGCAATCGCACATTCAGCCCCCTTGTCCTTTCTTTAATCACCAAGTAAGCTGTAAAGTTTTATATTGTTTTCAAATTAGTTACTCAGTTTTATTACAGAAAACATTTTGCTGATTACAAAATAAAATACCGTATTTACTTCACTTACTTATTGGGAGCGCCGCTGTATTACATACAATACGTACAGTAAATATAACTTCTATTATTAATATAAAAATATTGATAAGAACAATTCTTTTTCTAGTGTATGATAGTTGTGTCGATAACACTTCTCTAGGAAACCTGTACACAAAATTAACATTTCAGCTTGCTTACTACTTATTTACAGTTATCAATTTATAATTTCGCAGAACACTGTCAATAGATGGAAGCAGTTAACAGTAAAACTTCTCAAGGTTAATGTACAGTTTCGTTTTAGAATTGCGTAAAAGTACTTCCTTTAATGTCTGGGTGAAGTGTATGCTGTTTGTCTGTGTTACTACAGTTAGGACGAGAAGATCAACCGCTTCTTATTAAAATATTTCGAGAGGGAGAAAGGTAGGCCTCACTATTCTCTACTTATGTCGTTGGAGTGGTGTTATCGGTTATCAAGTGGATACGATTATTGATAAAAGTCTAGCCTGGCTGATCAGCGACCGCTCGCGTGACCGAGTTAGTAAGTAATTAAACCCAATTCGCCATTGGCTTGTGTCGAACGGGACACAGTGACGTTGCATCGAAGCGGTGTTGACTCTCCGATCACAGATAAGTTATCCTCTGATAAACAACTTTGTTACTCTTTCGTATGGTTTATTCGTTTACAATGAGACGTTTAAATATCCTTTTATTTTCCGCGGATTTTACTCTTTCGGCTGTTATAACAGAAGGACAGTATGGGACTCTGGCATAATTTATATTCCAGATTTATACATTTTCGGACATAGGACAGCTTGAACGTCGAATAATGCAAAAAAATATTCGGAGTAATTTCTGAATGTATGGGTGTTAGTGCTTGTGTGGCACATGTATGTTCACACTGTTGGTCTGTGAAAACGATAAAAAAAATCGTGTCAAAAAATTATATTATTATTAAGTCTTTTATAGCTTCAAATATGTTCACACTGTTTGAAGCTTAATAAGTCCTGTGCTTCGTGTCGAAAATTATTGAACTTTTGCAAGAAGGTTTGTTTATTTGGAAGATTCACATTGTTAAATTTTGATGGATAAAGGTCGAGGAGGTAGGGAGAAAATGGGGCTCATGTGTATCTCCAGTAGGGTGGGACATAATCACGATTTTACTCATTATTAGCATTTAGAATTTTTTGTTTATAAAACTCATTCCTACGCTTAAAATTAAGCATTTTGCCATTTTATAACAGTTAATTTAAAAATAAAAAGATGTTTTTTAAATGAAACATGATAACAGATTTCGACAGTAAAGTTTTAAATGTTGCCGGGAAAGTTAAGCAACTCGTTGCTGGTTTATTTAAACTAGCTGCACATAATGTGATACATAAAGTGGTGTAGAAGGTTTGTTTATCATTTGAACTCAAAGTTGAAAAAGAGAAGTTAAAGTTTAAAAAATAACATAAAAACGACAAAGAAAACAGTGTTAAGTTTACAAAGTTAATAAACAAAGTTAAGTTTATTTATTATAGACAGTTCAGCCGCATTTCCTGCAATATGATTTATCCGTTTAGCTCTCACTTTGAAGAAAAGCTTTGATCTAACTTTCCTCAAACCCAAAATGCATAAAATATTAGTTATGTGTCTAATTATATATCACATAATTATAGTACAAACAGAAATGAATTCCTTAAGGAGTGGAAACGTGGTGAGTATTCCAAAAAATGTTAACTGCTTTATACTAACATTTATAATTATTTTGTGGTTGAAGTTTAGAAATGCGAATTCTTTGTAAATTATCTGCTTTTAATAAAAGCCATTTCTATCGATTAAGATTAGTGTTTCTTTACGTGGAGTGCCTTCCAGTGGGATTAAATGTGGTAACATTTGGATTTAACTTTTCGATGCCTAATATAAAATTACGAGATGTATTATGATGTATAAATTTTACTAGACTTAGTGGATAGTCTCAGAGCCCAGGATAAAATGGAAACTCAACGACTATGTCCGGGACTCTTCCCACCATTCTCTGTACCATTGCCACCATTAACAGAGATTTCAGTCGAATACGAGACCCTCTTTTTGTGATTCGATGCTTTGTTGATTACTACAAATGTTAATATTAAAATCTAACCAGGGAATTTCAAAAGTACAGTATACTGTTGGGAATATGTCAGATACGTAATTTTTTTAGTTGGTTACATTCAGAGCATTTTTTAAATATTTACATAATAACGCGTATAAATATATATAACAGTTAAGCCTAAAACAATGTGGAAGTTAGCTGAATAGAAGAATTTTTTACAAAATATATTGACGATGATACAGAAAATCTAATTGAGGTCATTGTAGGTTAAATCAGTTTTATGTACAGACCGTTGTAGTATCTCCGGTTTAAAAAATCTCGGATAAATTAAATTGGCTGTATTGTTAGTTGTAATAAGATTTTATATTATTGGGTAGTAGGCCTATATATTTCAGAAAAAACTTCGTATAAGACCAAATCTTTTTCTTGCTGTTGCTGAGTTTAGTCACTAGTTAATTAACGTAATTATGTATTTACAACTTATAATAAACATACACAAGGGAATTTTACTGTATAATATGCAGTATTAATTGTCTTTTGTTACTCCTATAAATTATTTATTATATAATACATTTTAGGTCTTAGTGAGTTTTATATGTCAAGGATGAAATGGCTGCAATAAAAACTGGAAGACTCAATTCAAAGACCTATTTCTATGTATAAAACGTATTTTGTATCACGTAAGTATTTTTTGTGCGTTTACATTTATATAATATGTACAGATTACAATAATACTATAGTATTAAAACATTTATTGTGTCTATCGAGAAATTCGAATACATCTTGCATACGAAGACCTAAATGCCTGGTGTTATATTAAATTGTTATAGTAAGGTAAATAGGTATATGTTAACATTAAAATCATATTTTAATAGATTTGAAGTGAAACGAACGAATGTGTCAAACGTTTATATTTTATACAGAAATCATTGAGGTTGAATTAGAGAAATGGCAGAAGCAGAAGCTCCAAGTGAGGAGAATAATGGCGTCGTTAGTCTTGTTAATTATAAACAAGTTGCAAATGTAAGTCCATAAAATACATTTTATTTCAATATAAATTGTGGATATACTTAAATTATATTAAATAACAGTGATTATTTTATAATGACTAAAAGATTTTGTTTAATTTTGTGCAAGAAACTGAAATATGCTACTGCATTGTTATTAGGCGAATATATGCAATGTTTCTTTATTGACTTGCAAAATTCTTTACACATATTTACGTCTATTGTAGCCGCAAACATCTTAACTTAAAACCAGCAGAAAAATTATGTTTTTTTCGTGTAATACTTAATGTATTTTAATAATAAGTTTAACTGTAATCGGTTAAAAATAAGAGTTTAGGTTCTAATAGTGAATCCAGTCAGGCCCTGTTTACCAACTAACCAACAATTTTAAGGGTGAGATTATTTATGACTTAGCAAATAAATGTATGTTGTTTTATCCAATCTGTTTTTGAGTATGTTTTTCGCGTTGGAACGAATTATTTGGTTTTACATGTAATCGTATGGGAAAAGATGATCCACCTTACGACATTTTCATGATACGATCTCAGTTTCGGAACGGATTAATTTCGTATCCTGAGGTACCACTGTATTAAGTATTTGGTTATAAGTGTTATTGATATATAGTGATCGANCGTCATAGAAAATAATAGAAAAAAGTATTATTTTTAATTTTTATGTATCAAGACAGCGCATTGAAAATAAATATGCCATAAATAAAAATACCGAAATTCACATAAGTTGTAAATATAAAAAAAACAATAATTTACTGACATTAAATTGTTATGTTTTACTACATTTTTACAGAACTTATTTGAAGGACGAAAATGTTTTATATCATATACTTACACAGCTTAATTTTTACTATCATGTAACTGTTATTAGGTTAAACTTTAAAAAATAATTAAATAAAAATAAAATATTTATTAGATATTAATTACAGTTGAGAACAGTAATGAATCTTTAACGATGCTCAAGAACTGTACACAAGTTCAAGTTGGACCAAAATTTGAAATTCATACCGAAGAATTGAAAAAAAGTTTACTAAAGAAAGAAGATGAAGAAAGGAATGGTAATTTCGTATCTTTACAATAACATTACAAGAGCATCATCATTATAGTTTTACTTTCTGAGTTATTTTATGATGTCAATATCTGTAATTCAGCCATCATATTAATTACATTATAAATGCTTTAATTATTAAAATTATTAAAAATTAGTTTATTATATTACCTTACTACTGAATGGCTTAAATACATAAAGGGCTTTATTCAGAATTTACCTTCAGGAATATAGTTGTATTTGCGTCGATGATTTTACTATTAACTACGTATTGTAAGCGGAGGAACACGAAGGGCCATATATTAATAACTATTTAATGGTAAATTAATTTCAAAAGTTCTTTAAGAGATGTATTGTGAAGCGTTGTATGTATTATTTAAGCCTTTACACTTTTTTATTTCTTTTTATAAGAGAAAAATGTTACGTTAATTTGCATATTTACTTGTTTTATATTCTACGAGATCATTATTAAATGAAATTTATAAAATAGAAAGAAATAAAAACAGTACTTTCATCAAGCCATCATTTTGTTTCTAATTCTCAATTAACAAACAAAATATAAAGTACACGAAATTTCATTAACTGTTGTTACATTTTTTATAGAAATATTGAAGAGTTTCCACCAAATGTTGAAAAACAAATACAAGACATACTTTTCCTACATGAGGTCTTTTTTGTGGGAAGGCAAAAGGAACGATTTTCCATTAAAGGATTATTTCGAAGAACTGACTGTAAATAAGGCAGATTTATTTGGGAAGAAAAGAGGAGAAAAGATAAGTCTGAATGAGATATTTTCCATACAACAAGACGGACATCAAACTATTTTATTTACAGGGGATCCCGGTTATGGCAAATCAACTCTGTGCAAGAAAATTGTGTACGATTGGGCAATCACGAATTATCTCAAACATTTTGATTTAACTTTTATTGTAATTTTAAGAGAATTAGGTAATAAAAGCGTGAAGGATGCATTACTCGATGACATACACGAATACTCGCCAACTAATAAGGATTGGAATCTACAGGACATGCAGCTGAATATCTTGGTGTTTTTGGATGGTTTCGACGAGATTGTAGATAAATCTAAAATTATAAGATTTATAAGACAGGAATCTTTTTATATTTCTCGTCGAATGACGATTGTGGTTACCAGTCGACCTCAAGCCGCAGAAGACATCAGAGAAGACATGAACATGAGGTTTTCCATAGAAGGGTTTTCTCCAGAATATCAAAAGAAATATATTAAATCAATATTTAGAGAAGAGGAGAGAAAAGCAAACGAACTGTTTTCTAAACTGTATAAAGACGACTTTTATGCAAAATTATCGAAATGTCCTCTGATGCTGCACATGCTGTGTTGCCTTCATCAGAGCGAACAAATGAAAAAACTTGATACGATGACAGATTTATACATTCGAGTATTCTCTTTGATAACTGAACGTTATGTTAGAAAAACAAATCAGAACGGTAAGTTTGAAAGAGGAAAATATTTTCTTGGAGAAAATTTGCTACTGAAATTAGGAGAATTACATACACACTCAAGCTCTATCACATCAGAACAATTGAGGTGCTCTTTTCCTAAAGAAGATGAATACAATTTTGTTATGGGTCTGGACATTCTTACTCTGGATTCCTTTTCTCAATACGATAATATAATTCGATACAGTTTTGTACATCGCACATTCGGCGAATTTCTGTCAGCTTTATTTATGTATATCGGAATTGTTTCATTTCCAGATAATATTGAAGAAACGGAGTTATTATTTTTATTAGGATTTTATAATGATAATCCTTTACCCAAAAAGGTCTTAACATATATAGAAGGGAAAATGTTTTCTCTTAAATTCCTGTTTCGCGCTCATAAAGAAATCAAACTTAAAAGAAATTGGGAACAATTCTGTTGTAATGCCAAAGTAATTATTCGTTATTGGAACTGTTTTTGTTATCTCCCAAGGTTATTGGAGCGGTATGAATTCACAACGTTATATTTTCATTTCAGTGAGCCATTTGTGTTTATTTGGAAAGAACTGGATGACAACACTGAGTATGACCCTCTGTTCTGTTTAATCAGGTATACTTTAAAAAATAAGACGAAGATGTACGTTCTCCTCACACTTGAGGAGAACGTACATCTTGAGATTACGTTTACAAGAAATGTATACGATATCAGAGAAACTGTTTCACACATGATCGATTTCATTAATGTAATGACCACAAAAAACTTGGACATTTTTCTTATTGGATTAATATCGCGTACGTCTACAGAAATCAGTAGATTCACGAATGTAAAACTCAATTTGAATTTGTCTGACGACCAGCTGAAATTATTAAAAGTCAGTAAAAATGAAGAATTGGTTGCATTGGAAGTTGAAGTATTCCGAGGAATTTCTGACAGATATGTTATTTCTTTGGAGCAATACGAAACTTTACGTGATCGTATCGTACTTAAATCTGCGAGTACATAAAATTCACAATGTGTGATGATGTAGACGAGTGTAAAATAAATGACAGAGTATTGAAATAACAAAATAGTATAAACTGTTTAATAATACAATAAATATAAGTACAAGTTTTAAGAAAGATAAAACCTTTTTTTCAGTTCATTTCAGTCAAATGATTGAACAAAAATTTTATCTTTGTTAAAAGTTTTACTTATATTTATTGTATTATTAAACGTAAATAACGATTGGCCATGTTAAACTTATTGCTTTTACTTAAATAGTATAAACTGTATTTATAAATGACGTCCGGTTTTCAGAAACGAAGTTTAATGTGATGAAATGAGTAAGTTGTAATTTTAAACGATGACAGTCGACAGGTAAAGAAATTTTGAAAGTTTACAATGTATATTAATTGTAAAATAAATGTATTTATGCACATTGTATTACGGTTATGAATTGTTTTTATTGAAAATAGATATGCAAGTTTTTCAGTGGTATTGTGTAGTTTAGATTCGTTTCAATTCAAATATCGTCCCATATTTTGTTTCAAGTGACAATATCTATGGTTAATTCAATACATATTTTTGATTGATAAGTCATTGAATGAAATTTGTATAGTTTGTTTAACAGTACAAAAAGCAGTAACAGAAATCTGTATAGTTTCAAATAGACTAATGTATTTCGAAATACTTTCGAATTTCATGTAGGAAACACTGTAAATAACAAACTACACTGTTTCCTACAGCCAAAGGGTAGTTATAGTTAAATGTATCACGATTTTATAAACGTTTCGTCTTTAATTTTCCTTTTTTAAATCTGTTCGGCCGGTTTCGCATGAAATCTATAAAGTAAATAAAACATATACAGTGGTACCTCAGGTTACGAACGCCCCAGCATACGAAATTTTCAGGATACGACATGAANATTTCAGTCGAATACGAGACCCTCTTTTTGTGATTCGATGCTTTGTTGATTACTACAAATGTTAATATTAAAATCTAACCAGGGAATTTCAAAAGTACAGTATACTGTTGGGAATATGTCAGATACGTAATTTTTTTAGTTGGTTACATTCAGAGCATTTTTTAAATATTTACATAATAACGCGTATAAATATATATAACAGTTAAGCCTAAAACAATGTGGAAGTTAGCTGAATAGAAGAATTTTTTACAAAATATATTGACGATGATACAGAAAATCTAATTGAGGTCATTGTAGGTTAAATCAGTTTTATGTACAGACCGTTGTAGTATCTCCGGTTTAAAAAATCTCGGATAAATTAAATTGGCTGTATTGTTAGTTGTAATAAGATTTTATATTATTGGGTAGTAGGCCTATATATTTCAGAAAAAACTTCGTATAAGACCAAATCTTTTTCTTGCTGTTGCTGAGTTTAGTCACTAGTTAATTAACGTAATTATGTATTTACAACTTATAATAAACATACACAAGGGAATTTTACTGTATAATATGCAGTATTAATTGTCTTTTGTTACTCCTATAAATTATTTATTATATAATACATTTTAGGTCTTAGTGAGTTTTATATGTCAAGGATGAAATGGCTGCAATAAAAACTGGAAGACTCAATTCAAAGACCTATTTCTATGTATAAAACGTATTTTGTATCACGTAAGTATTTTTTGTACGTTTACATTTATATAATATGTACAGATTACAATAATACTATAGTATTAAAACATTTATTGTGTCTATCGAGAAATTCGAATACATCTTGCATACGAAGACCTAAATGCCTGGTGTTATATTAAATTGTTATAGTAAGGTAAATAGGTATATGTTAACATTAAAATCATATTTTAATAGATTTGAAGTGAAACGAACGAATGTGTCAAACGTTTATATTTTATACAGAAATCATTGAGGTTGAATTAGAGAAATGGCAGAAGCAGAAGCTCCAAGTGAGGAGAATAATGGCGTCGTTAGTCTTGTTAATTATAAACAAGTTGCAAATGTAAGTCCATAAAATACATTTTATTTCAATATAAATTGTGGATATACTTAAATTATATTAAATAACAGTGATTATTTTATAATGACTAAAAGATTTTGTTTAATTTTGTGCAAGAAACTGAAATATGCTACTGCATTGTTATTAGGCGAATATATGCAATGTTTCTTTATTGACTTGCAAAATTCTTTACACATATTTACGTCTATTGTAGCCGCAAACATCTTAACTTAAAACCAGCAGAAAAATTATGTTTTTTTCGTGTAATACTTAATGTATTTTAATAATAAGTTTAACTGTAATCGGTTAAAAATAAGAGTTTAGGTTCTAATAGTGAATCCAGTCAGGCCCTGTTTACCAACTAACCAACAATTTTAAGGGTGAGATTATTTATGACTTAGCAAATAAATGTATGTTGTTTTATCCAATCTGTTTTCCGTCGCTTTACATTGATTTTCTGCTATGATAAAAAAAAAATCTATCAACGAATTGCACAACTTTCACGGCTTTTGTGATATATTATTTTAAAATAAACATTTGTATTTATTAGTCAAAATAAATAACTAAAATTGTATAAGGCGTCATGTAGTATGAGATTTTCTTATAAAAACTTCATATGTTTTTAATTATTATAAAATAGAAAAAGAAACTTGATTTTGAAAGTAGAAGTGAGTTTAATAAAACACTGTAAATTATAACAAGTGAAATTTTCAATAAGTCTGACTCCTCGCGAGATATGACACGTGCCCACTCTCTATCTCTCCATCCCCTTGACCTTTCACAACCGAAATTTAATAGAATCAATGCCCCTTATATTCACGCTACCATGCCATATTTCGTTTCTTTGTCTTCGTAGCATCCTGAGATATTACGGAATTAGACACCAACACACATACATATACATACATACTCACGGATATTTTTTTTCGTTTTGTTTGACTATTTTTAGGTTTAGTTCTCTCAAAACGTGAAGATTTGCAAAAACTCGGTCGAATTCGACACGATTCCCTTTATACCCTTGCTTTGTATAAATAACAGTTTAGCCAGGTTTTTTTTAAATTGTTTTCAAACTCACAACCTGAAGAACTCTTATAAAACATTTAACATTGTATTATCATATAAGAATGATAAACTAAAAGTAGTGTTGGCATATATATGATTTCAATTGTTGATCTCTTGTAATTTGAAACAAAGGCTATTAAAATGATCTTCTTATGCGAGTAAATTATTAGGTGTGATTTAAAAAAATAAGATCTGTTATCAACTGTTAAATAATCAGAGTGTTTCCTTATACGGTAACACGTTACAATGGTGCATTAATATTAAATACAGTTTATATTCTTAATTTAACTTTCTGTAAACTGTACTGTAGACTAATTTGAAAAGAATAATGTATATATATGTATTACTTGACAGGCAACGTTTGGACAGACGCAAAATGAAAATATACTTAAAGAACTATTAAAGGGTAAGTTTTTTTTTGTAATATATTGATATATATATTCTAAAAAATTAAATAATTTCTGGCTATTCGCTTTTCTTTGTCAGTTTCTGTTAGGTTCTATTAGAAACTGAAAAGAAACTGACTGAATTAGTTGTATTGTTGATAGAATAAACAATATTTTTAATGGTTACACGTGTTAAAGATTCGTCATAGAAAATAATAGAAAAAAGTATTATTTTTAATTTTTATGTATCAAGACAGCGCATTGAAAATAAATATGCCATAAATAAAAATACCGAAATTCACATAAGTTGTAAATATAAAAAAAACAATAATTTACTGACATTAAATTGTTATGTTTTACTACATTTTTACAGAACTTATTTGAAGGACGAAAATGTTTTATATCATATACTTACACAGCTTAATTTTTACTATCATGTAACTGTTATTAGGTTAAACTTTAAAAAATAATTAAATAAAAATAAAATATTTATTAGATATTAATTACAGTTGAGAACAGTAATGAATCTTTAACGATGCTCAAGAACTGTACACAAGTTCAAGTTGGACCAAAATTTGAAATTCATACCGAAGAATTGAAAAAAAGTTTACTAAAGAAAGAAGATGAAGAAAGGAATGGTAATTTCGTATCTTTACAATAACATTACAAGAGCATCATCATTATAGTTTTACTTTCTGAGTTATTTTATGATGTCAATATCTGTAATTCAGCCATCATATTAATTACATTATAAATGCTTTAATTATTAAAATTATTAAAAATTAGTTTATTATATTACCTTACTACTGAATGGCTTAAATACATAAAGGGCTTTATTCAGAATTTACCTTCAGGAATATAGTTGTATTTGCGTCGATGATTTTACTATTAACTACGTATTGTAAGCGGAGGAACACGAAGGGCCATATATTAATAACTATTTAATGGTAAATTAATTTCAAAAGTTCTTTAAGAGATGTATTGTGAAGCGTTGTATGTATTATTTAAGCCTTTACACTTTTTTATTTCTTTTTATAAGAGAAAAATGTTACGTTAATTTGCATATTTACTTGTTTTATATTCTACGAGATCATTATTAAATGAAATTTATAAAATAGAAAGAAATAAAAACAGTACTTTCATCAAGCCATCATTTTGTTTCTAATTCTCAATTAACAAACAAAATATAAAGTACACGAAATTTCATTAACTGTTGTTACATTTTTTATAGAAATATTGAAGAGTTTCCACCAAATGTTGAAAAACAAATACAAGACATACTTTTCCTACATGAGGTCTTTTTTGTGGGAAGGCAAAAGGAACGATTTTCCATTAAAGGATTATTTCGAAGAACTGACTGTAAATAAGGCAGATTTATTTGGGAAGAAAAGAGGAGAAAAGATAAGTCTGAATGAGATATTTTCCATACAACAAGACGGACATCAAACTATTTTATTTACAGGGGATCCCGGTTATGGCAAATCAACTCTGTGCAAGAAAATTGTGTACGATTGGGCAATCACGAATTATCTCAAACATTTTGATTTAACTTTTATTGTAATTTTAAGAGAATTAGGTAATAAAAGCGTGAAGGATGCATTACTCGATGACATACACGAATACTCGCCAACTAATAAGGATTGGAATCTACAGGACATGCAGCTGAATATCTTGGTGTTTTTGGATGGTTTCGACGAGATTGTAGATAAATCTAAAATTATAAGATTTATAAGACAGGAATCTTTTTATATTTCTCGTCGAATGACGATTGTGGTTACCAGTCGACCTCAAGCCGCAGAAGACATCAGAGAAGACATGAACATGAGGTTTTCCATAGAAGGGTTTTCTCCAGAATATCAAAAGAAATATATTAAATCAATATTTAGAGAAGAGGAGAGAAAAGCAAACGAACTGTTTTCTAAACTGTATAAAGACGACTTTTATGCAAAATTATCGAAATGTCCTCTGATGCTGCACATGCTGTGTTGCCTTCATCAGAGCGAACAAATGAAAAAACTTGATACGATGACAGATTTATACATTCGAGTATTCTCTTTGATAACTGAACGTTATGTTAGAAAAACAAATCAGAACGGTAAGTTTGAAAGAGGAAAATATTTTCTTGGAGAAAATTTGCTACTGAAATTAGGAGAATTACATATAATTTCTGTCATGATGGGGTTGACAGTAGGATAGCCGCTTAGACTGCAGGAGAGAAACTAAGGCAAAATAACTAATGGAATTAGGTGAATTTNTAGAATTTTTTGTTTATAAAACTCATCCCTACGCTTAAAATTAAGCATTTTGCCATTTTATAACAGTTAATTTAAAAATAAAAAGATGTTTTTTAAATGAAACATGATAACAGATTTCGACAGTAAAGTTTTAAATGTTGCCGGGAAAGTTAAGCAACTCGTTGCTGGTTTATTTAAACTAGCTGCACATAATGTGATACATAAAGTGGTGTAGAAGGTTTGTTTATCATTTGAACTCAAAGTTGAAAAAGAGAAGTTAAAGTTTAAAAAATAACATAAAAACGACAAAGAAAACAGTGTTAAGTTTACAAAGTTAATAAACAAAGTTAAGTTTATTTATTATAGACAGTTCAGCCGCATTTCCTGCAATATGATTTATCCGTTTAGCTCTCACTTTGAAGAAAAGCTTTGATCTAACTTTCCTCAAACCCAAAATGCATAAAATATTAGTTATGTGTCTAATTATATATCACATAATTATAGTACAAACAGAAATGAATTCCTTAAGGAGTGGAAACGTGGTGAGTATTCCAAAAAATGTTAACTGCTTTATACTAACATTTATAATTATTTTGTGGTTGAAGTTTAGAAATGCGAATTCTTTGTAAATTATCTGCTTTTAATAAAAGCCATTTCTATCGATTAAGATTAGTGTTTCTTTACGTGGAGTGCCTTCCAGTGGGATTAAATGTGGTAACATTTGGATTTAACTTTTCGATGCCTAATATAAAATTACGAGATGTATTATGATGTATAAATTTTACTAGACTTAGTGGATAGTCTCAGAGCCCAGGATAAAATGGAAACTCAACGACTATGTCCGGGACTCTTCCCACCATTCTCTGTACCATTGCCACCATTAACAGAGATTTCAGTCGAATACGAGACCCTCTTTTTGTGATTCGATGCTTTGTTGATTACTACAAATGTTAATATTAAAATCTAACCAGGGAATTTCAAAAGTACAGTATACTGTTGGGAATATGTCAGATACGTAATTTTTTTAGTTGGTTACATTCAGAGCATTTTTTAAATATTTACATAATAACGCGTATAAATATATATAACAGTTAAGCCTAAAACAATGTGGAAGTTAGCTGAATAGAAGAATTTTTTACAAAATATATTGACGATGATACAGAAAATCTAATTGAGGTCATTGTAGGTTAAATCAGTTTTATGTACAGACCGTTGTAGTATCTCCGGTTTAAAAAATCTCGGATAAATTAAATTGGCTGTATTGTTAGTTGTAATAAGATTTTATATTATTGGGTAGTAGGCCTATATATTTCAGAAAAAACTTCGTATAAGACCAAATCTTTTTCTTGCTGTTGCTGAGTTTAGTCACTAGTTAATTAACGTAATTATGTATTTACAACTTATAATAAACATACACAAGGGAATTTTACTGTATAATATGCAGTATTAATTGTCTTTTGTTACTCCTATAAATTATTTATTATATAATACATTTTAGGTCTTAGTGAGTTTTATATGTCAAGGATGAAATGGCTGCAATAAAAACTGGAAGACTCAATTCAAAGACCTATTTCTATGTATAAAACGTATTTTGTATCACGTAAGTATTTTTTGTACGTTTACATTTATATAATATGTACAGATTACAATAATACTATAGTATTAAAACATTTATTGTGTCTATCGAGAAATTCGAATACATCTTGCATACGAAGACCTAAATGCCTGGTGTTATATTAAATTGTTATAGTAAGGTAAATAGGTATATGTTAACATTAAAATCATATTTTAATAGATTTGAAGTGAAACGAACGAATGTGTCAAACGTTTATATTTTATACAGAAATCATTGAGGTTGAATTAGAGAAATGGCAGAAGCAGAAGCTCCAAGTGAGGAGAATAATGGCGTCGTTAGTCTTGTTAATTATAAACAAGTTGCAAATGTAAGTCCATAAAATACATTTTATTTCAATATAAATTGTGGATATACTTAAATTATATTAAATAACAGTGATTATTTTATAATGACTAAAAGATTTTGTTTAATTTTGTGCAAGAAACTGAAATATGCTACTGCATTGTTATTAGGCGAATATATGCAATGTTTCTTTATTGACTTGCAAAATTCTTTACACATATTTACGTCTATTGTAGCCGCAAACATCTTAACTTAAAACCAGCAGAAAAATTATGTTTTTTTCGTGTAATACTTAATGTATTTTAATAATAAGTTTAACTGTAATCGGTTAAAAATAAGAGTTTAGGTTCTAATAGTGAATCCAGTCAGGCCCTGTTTACCAACTAACCAACAATTTTAAGGGTGAGATTATTTATGACTTAGCAAATAAATGTATGTTGTTTTATCCAATCTGTTTTTGAGTATGTTTTTCGCGTTGGAACGAATTATTTGGTTTTACATGTAATCGTATGGGAAAAGATGATCCACCTTACGACATTTTCATGATACGATCTCAGTTTCGGAACGGATTAATTTCGTATCCTGAGGTACCACTGTATTAAGTATTTGGTTATAAGTGTTATTGATATATAGTGATCGAATAAACAAATACAAATCTTTTGAACAGAGGAGGCCATTCGGCTTTCTGTCTTCAAAAGCAGACGATCTGAAGTTGTATCGATAACCGTATGTTAGAAAAACTCGAAAAATAAAACTGAAATAACTAAAATCGATACAAATATCCCTTTGAAAATAGACACGTGTTAACGCAACTCTCGCCATTTTAGCCCATCAGACGATCGGGAGCAGTTATCTCTAGAAGGAAAACAAAGGGCGAAAACAATAGCATTATCCCTACCAGTTTATCTAGTAACCATGGTAAAATCTCTCAAGGTTAAAATATAGTTTTGTTTTTTTTAGAGTTACGTGAAACAACTTCGTTGAATGTGTGAGTGTAGTGTTTGTCTTCTTTTACCACAGTTAGGACAACATGATCAACCGCTTTCTTAGTGAAATTATTTGACAGGGACAAAGGTAGACCTTCTAGTCACTCCTTATGTCGACGAAGTGGTGTTATCGTTTTCGAGTGGATAAGATTACAGGATTTAAAAAATATTGTAATTCTCCAATCAAAGTTACTTTCAATATCATAAAGTGATATCACTGAATTTAGCGATGACGTTGATGCAGTCACTTCAGTCAGCTTAGACGTTCATTTTGTATGCCTTTTATTGTATGAAAAGTTTATACATTAATCGGACAAGGCAAAAATCTTCACTTTACGACTTCAGTTTACATTAAGAAAGTAAGATTTTTTCGATATTTTTTAAATGAATTCATTAAACTGTGTCTTTTTAAATTAATTTAAGAACAATGTTCTTATATTTATAGGAACGACAGCCAAAATATATAGGAAGTCTCTCGTTATATATTATAAATTCCTTTTGTTACATAAGGGAATATCGGCATATCAAATATGTTAAGTTTAATTACTTATAAGTTTTCCATTGTTCTCTACAATTTAGGATTTTAAGTATACAAAATATATCTGTTTATCTGAAAAATGTCTGACATCAGAATATCAAATTCACCTTCTAACTCACTTTTACGAAAGTTACATTGCAGGTATCAAATCACATTCTATTGATATTGCATGCACACAGCTGCATACAAAAAGTTTGTTGCAATACCTGAAAGTTTTCACAAAAATCATACTACATATTTAATATGCTCGACCTTCCCCATGAATAGATTTTTAGGAATAAATGAAAATAATCTTATCAGTTAAAAATTTCGCAGATAAAGAACTTTATGCGCAATAGTCTGATATACAGTAATAAATTTTTATGTAATGAATTAGTTAAAAGTCTTTCTATTATATTAGATTATTTAAAATTGCTGCTACTCACAAGGTGATTGGTAGCACATGCGAAGTGGGCGAAAGGTGTGCTCCTGCAAATTGAAAATGCTCGTTCCAATTCTGGCCATGGTTAATATGGGGTTTTAGTTACTGTCATATCCTTCGTACTTCATAAACACATCAAATCAAGGGGTGAGCAGATTGATGTGTCTTATACGCCTGGCCGCCATCAATATAGTAACCTTTCGAAGACAACTCCGAAACTGTAAATGGGAAGGGAATCATGTGACACATAATTTAGTGTTAAAATTTTACTAGGAATTGATTGTTTAAAGATTTTATTGATTTACCTCCCAACGATTACAGAGTTATGCACGTTAAATTATTACTTAATGTACATACTCTGGGTACATTCTATATTTTTTTGCAGGGGCGTTATATGCAGACTACAATAATATAGTACTTATTAAAATTTATTTGTTTAGTAATGCAGAAGAATTCAGCTACACCATTTGGCACGTGAAGACTCGTGTGCTTATCGTTACATTAAGGTGTTACACGTAAAATAAATAGCAATACGTTTACTTTAACATTATATTTATAATAAATTTTGAGTAAAACGAAGAAATTTCTCAATGTTTTATCTCGTTTGTAAATTATAACAGTTGAATTAAAGAAATGGCAGAGGCAGAAGTTTCAAGTGAGGAGGAGAGTACGACAGTTTGTCCAGTTGATTACAAACAAGTCGAGAAAGTAAGTCAACGAAATGAATTTTATTTTAATTTAAATTACATATAATTGTGTTTAGAATCAGAGGACGACTTTGTTTCCTATACGTAATACTGTAGATAATTGAATAATGAGTCTAACTGTAATCAATTTAAAATAGCGGAGTGGTCAAAGTGGTCTCTAATAGAAGGTTCACCAACTGACTCACACTTCTAAGAGTGAGATAATTATTTACCAGAAAAATATATTTGTTTATTTCGGATCTGTTTCCGGATAAACGCTACTTTTTACGTTTTATTTAACTGCATAATAATAAGACAAACAACAATTATATTTAACCTCTCTTCATGGTTTATGAATAGGTCGATGTAGTAACAATTCAGTCAATCTTACTGAAATTGAGTGCCTTCATAACATCATAGAGGTGCATTAATATTAAATACAGTTTATATTCTTAATTTAACTGTATATAAAGTGTAATGTATACTAGTTTATAGAGTATAATGTATACATGTAAATTATTTAACAGGCAATGGATGGACTGAGACAAAATGAAAATATGTTTAAAAAACTATTAAACGGTAAACGTTTTTCTATTTCTTACTTTAAGTATGAAATTTATACGTTGTTATAATAGAAGATATTCTTATAAAATACATTTTGTTAAATATTAAAAGACAATAATTTACTGACATTAAGTTATCTTTTAATAATACTTTTTACAGATTTTCTTAAGCACAAAAATTCTTTTATATTATATAAAGTTACGCGCGCACAGTTTTCGTTATTATTTAACTGCATTTAATTTAAACTTACAAATACTGTAATAAAAAAATGTAATATATATTAAATATTAATTCTAGTTGAGAATTGTATCAATATCCGACGATGCTCAAGAACTGTACACAAGTTCACGTTGGACCAAAAATAGAAATTCATTCCGATGAATCGAACGCAAGTTGCTCAAACAAAGAAGATGAAGAAAAGGAATGGTAAGTGTTTGTCTTTACAATAAACATACAAAATACATATATTGTTCATTACTGAACAATAATTCTATAATTAATTGAGGCTGAGCATTTGCAAATCCTTTTCGCGATCGCTGTCGCTTCGACTGAATTCTCACTTCTTGTTCAGAGAAGAAACAAACTGTGCCTAATTTTACATAAATATGCCCATTAATACTATATTACCATTAAAGTATTAATATTAATACTTTCAGTAAGTTTAATAGCTTCGAAAGGACTTCAGATGCATTTTCCTTAACTTTCGAATGCATTATGGCATGATATATCATTCTCGGTCGCTGCTACACTGCAACACGAAAGGAAATTTCCGAATAACGGTTTTATACAGCAAAGCTGTTCTTTGAGCTGAAATTTGAAAAATTGCACACCTATAAATTCCCATTCTTGCCGTTTTTCTGAATGTCTTTCTTAATCTCAAGAACTGAGTTAGATGACCGGTACGAATCCGTTGCTAACGGAAAAGTATGATGTACAGGGGCTATTAATTTGAGGTGGAAAGCATATATTTTAAATTAAAAACATTATTAAAAACATGATTAAAAATTATAGCCCGGCTCTGTGACGATGGAACAATAAATAATCGCTCGTTAAGAGTAAATTTATTTCAACAGTCGCGAAGAACTGGCTTCTGAAGACCTGTAAATTATTATTTAATTGTTTTTTTTTATAGAAATTTTGAAGACTTGCTGCCAGGTGTTGAAAAACAAATACAAGACTTACTTTTCCTACATGAGGTCCTTCTTGTGGGAAGGCAAGAGGAACGATTTTCCATTAAAGGATTATTTCGTAGAATTGACTGTAGAAAAGGCAGATTTATTTGGAAAGAAAATAGGAGAGAAAATAAGCTTGAATGAGATATTTTCTATAGAACAAGAGGGACACCAAACTATTTTAGTTACAGGAGATCCCGGTTATGGCAAATCAACTCTGTGTAAAAAAAATGTGTACGACTGGGCAACCACGAATTACCTCAAACACTTTGATTTAACTTTTATTGTAATTTTACGAGAATTAAGTGATAGAAGTGTAAAGGATGCATTACTCGATGACATACACGAATACTCACCAAAAAATAAGAATTGGAATCTACAGGACAAACAGCTGAATATTTTAGTGATTTTGGATGGTTTCGACGAGATTGTAGAAAAATCTAAAATTATAACATTTATAAGACAGGAATCTTTTTATATTTCTCGTCGAATGACGATTGTGGTTACCAGTCGACCTAAAGCAGCAGAAGACATCAGGGAAGATATGAACATGAGGTTTTCCATAGAAGGATTTTCTCTAAAATATCAAGAAAAATACATTTATTTAATGTTGAGAGAAGACGAGAGAAAAGCAAGATTATTTTACCATGCATTGATAGCAAACGACTTTCTCCGAAAAATAGGTGAATGTCCTCTGATGCTGCGTATGTTGTGTTGTCTCTGTCAGAATGGAGAAATGGAAAAACTTGATACGATGACAGATTTATACATCCGAATATTCTCTTTGATAACTGAACGTTATGTTAGAAAAACAAATCAGCAAGATAAGTTTAAAAGAGGAAAATTTTTTGTGGGAGAAAATTTGTTACTGAAATTAGGAGAAATATGTAGACAGCGTTATATTATAACATCAGAATGCTTGAGATACTATTTTCCGAAAAAAGATGAATACAATTTTATTATGGGTCTGGACATTCTTACTCTGAATTCTTTTTCTCAATATCATATTATAATTGAATACAATTTTGTACATCGCACATTTGGCGAATTTCTTACAGCTTTATTAAGATATTTCAATTTTTTCCCATTTATCCGTATTGGTGATGTGGAACTACAATTTTTATTGGGGTTTTATAACGATAAACCTTTACCTAAAAAGTTCTTAAAATGTGTAGAGAAAAATACTTTTGATTCCAATTCTTTGCGGCTCGTTTACCGGTATATGAAAGTAAAAAAAAAATAGGGAACAATTTTGTTCTCATTTAAGAGTGGTATGTGATACTTGGGACTACCTTTTTCGGATTCACCACTTTTGGAAATGGTACGAATTCAAAGAATTATATGTATATTTTTATGAGATTATAAATGAGTGCGTTGGATCAGAGGATTTCGTGATTTCTTCCATGAACGACTATAGTTTTCCGAAGAAAGTAAAGATTTATCTCATCCTCACACTTGAGAGAGAGCTTTTCGAAAATAAATACGACATCAGAGAGCCTGTTTCACGGATTATCTATTTACTTCATAAAATGAATACAAGAAAGTTCGACATTTTTCTTGTTGGTGCTAAGAAGCTTTTGGATGTCCCTTGTATGCCGAAGTGGTTAAAAAGATTCACAAATGTAAATGTCAATTTAAATTTGTCTAACGATAAGCTGAAATTATTAAAAGTAAATAAAGACGAAAAACTGGTTGCATTGGAAAGTAGAGACGACTCAAAAGTTTTTTTCAGTTACATTCTTACATTGAAGCAATACGAAACTTTACGTCGTCATATAATATTTGAATCTGTCAGTAAACAGAATTCAAGGTGTATGGTAATGTAGACGAGTATAAAATAAATGTAAGATAGTATAAACTCTATTTATAAAATAAAGTGTAGTTTCAGTGGTAAAGTCGAATGTAATTAATTTATTTTTCTTGAAATATTTATGCACGTTTTGCAGTGTTATATTGTTGTATATAGTCGTTTTCCACTCAAATAATGCCTCGTGTTTTTTGTTTTTTAATAACAAAATATATAATAAATTCAAGTCTTTTTCTCTTCAATAATTGAAACGGTAATGAATCTTCTATTGTTTCTTAAAAAATACGGTAACCACGAACGTTTTCTGTTGGAAATACTATATTTTGTTCCAAATACTTCTAAATTTAATATAGGAAATAGGCTACAGGTACAGTTAAATTTCAAAGTGTCTGGATTTTGTGACTATTGTATATTTTATTAACCGCCAATTTAAAAATTAGAATAATTGTTTTGAAAATATGCAGTTATTTTGACTTTTAGAAGACCTTTTATGCGAAGAAATATACATGGATTTTCAATTTGACGTTGTCCACGTGAAAATGTCAAGTAAATAAAACAAATATTAAATATTTGGCTATAAGTATTAATCATATTTAGTGATTAAGCCAGTATTATTCAAATTTTTCTGACGTTACCCAAACGTTTTTAATATAAAATTTTAAAATATCCTAGTAAACTAGTCATTCTATATCATACAACAAAATAAAATTATTTATTATTGATAATAACTTAAACGTGTGAAATGTATTAGCAAGAACATTTCTGTCAAGTGGTTCAGGCCAATTTAGATTTGTAACAGATAAATTACTACAATTTTATTTTTACTTTCTCAGCTGTTATGTATACATAAATAAAGTATTGGAATCGTATCAAATTTCACCCTTCGAGTTTTTGCAAATGTCTCAAACGTGGAGTTTGAGAACCTTTGAACCTTCCAAAAAAGTGTAACAAAACAGAAAAAAATTCCGTGGATATATATGTATGTTTGCGTGTGTCGGTGTCTACTTAGCTTAATTAATTATTTAATATCTCAGCATGGGGAAAAGATAAAGAAACGAAATTTTGCACGGTAGCCTGTATGTAAGGGGCATTGATTCTATTAAATATTGGTTGTGAAAGGTCAAGGGAATAGAAAGATAGAAAGTGGTCACGCGTCATATGTTGCGAGGGGTTACACTTAATGAAAATTTTACTTGTTAGCATTTACATTGTTTCATTAAACTCATTTCTACCTCACAGTTAAGTCTCTGCTATTTTATAATAATAAAAAAATATATAAAATTTATATTACAAAATCTCATAAAAGATGGCGCCACAAACAATTTTAGTTGTTTATTTTGATTAATAATCCTGCCAACGTAATAAGGTTTGGAGTAGGATTTGGGTTTGGATTGCTTGGCCCAGCTGCATGACGGGGATCATCCTCCATTATTTCTACTAATATTAAAATCTACCTCCTATGAAGACTCTAACAATTCTTTTAATTTTAAAGTCCCTAATTCGACTCGAATCGACCTTTTTTTTCTCCAATATAGCCCTTTTTCGCTTTATCGATAGTTGAAAAAGTCAAACCCCACTCCTGAAAAATTAATTTGTGCGTAGCCTGCCAGAGGTAGGACGAGCCTCTTTTCGTCGGCAATAGGTTGGTTAAACACGCCCACTTGCCAGAAAATGGCTGGTTTACATTTTATAATCCAGAGGGGTCGAGATTTTTTTTTTCTGTCAGGTCGAGGGGAGGAGGTGAGAGGGGTCGTTGTTAAGGCATAGGCTATGAACGAGCCTACGCCTTAACGACGTTAACACCTTTTATCTAATGAGGATATTTTATCTATTGTCAGCAGATAAAAGGAACCAGAAACCTGAACGGACAAGGATGAACTAACAAGACATTGTAAGATCTACCATTCCTATTTTAAAAAAGAATTATTTTAATCTTTATTGGTTTCTTGTGTTTCTAAGGAACGTTTTTAAATGTAAGCAGTTATGTAGCCTAAAAGGGAAGGTCCAGCTGTCTATGATTTGTTCTAGAACACTAAATAAAAATGATGATTTGAAATAATTTTTAGAGCGACTTTGTTTTTAATTTGTACAGAATTAATTATTCATACGACAGAAATTCAAAAGCATCAGTTACTGTTAATAAATATTTAATACCATTATTATATCTAGAAAATTGCTTTAACATAATTAAATAGGCTTGCCACAAGTCGTTAGGATAAAAAGTTTTAGTTTTTCTTCGCGAATATTTAACTCTTATCAGTATATGAAGCAAATAAACTGGTTGAGAAGACAACCATTTTTCGTACACAGATCTCGGTAAATTACAAGCCTTAGCTAGTTTACTCACTCCTCCAAACGATGTCGAAGATTTAGGGTTATAATATATCGATTTCAATAGTTTTTCCATTCGGAACACGTCTTCCTCTTTTTCGTAAATTTTTTCCACTGGTAAAATACTCTTGGAGAAATTGAAGAAAAAATTTCTTCCAGACTTTCAACAGGTGTACGTTGATATTTTGGCTTTTCGCCGATTTCTAATAAAGTCGCCAAACTTTTATTTCCGATCCACTCTTTGAGAATACAATAGAGCGTCGATTATCCAAAAGTCAATCATCCAAAACGTCAATTATCGGTAAGAATTCCAGTCGGCAAATTTAAATTTTCTCTAGTGCTGTGGCGCTTCAATCTTTGGCTATGTCTTGGGCTACTCAAATGTTTTACGTTTTTGATACTATATTAACTTCTGAAGTATAATTTTTTATTGTTTTTATATTTTTCAATATATTTATTTTGTTTGTACAAAATAAAAAAATAATTTTTAGCGATACAATAGTCTTCTTTAGTCTCAACAACAACGAAAATTCAACGCGAAGCGACAAGCAACGGAGAAAAATTTCAACACAGGATTGGTTAATATATGTTTTCGTGCATAATCGGTTATCCGAAATATCGAATTTTTTTCTGACCAACCCCAGTCCCCAATTGATTCGGATAATCGACGCTCTACTGTATTTATTATATTTTTTTAATTGTTCTCAAAATTCGTTAAAATCAACCGGGGCTAATGGCATTTTTCTATTTCTCATTAAATGAGATATTAAATCCACCATATGACTTCCTACAACTGGGTTACTGCTGACTGTTAATTTGCCTTCGTATCCCATCGGTAATGATTTTGTCTCAGTTTGTCGATTAAATGCGGACTGTATTTTTGTGGCACAAATATGATTATTTGTTTAATAAATGCATCTTCGCCTTTGTCGTCGCCGTCGGGTTTTTCTTCAGATGCTTCTTCTTTTTCGTCAGGTACAACAGACATTCTGACCGGTTCTTTCGGTTTATGAACTGTTCTCTGATATCTCGAAATCAATTGGCTTAATAAATTGACTTTACTATCGTCCGATAAATCAGTACTCTCGAGTAATTCTTCGATATTACCTTGTATTACCAATTCTTATTTCAGGTTTTCTTTGATATCTTGCTAACAATTCGGGAGCGACCAGAACCATTTGGTTTGCCATTAAATTCATTTTCCTATTACTTTACCAATTAGTCCTTCTGCCATCGACAATAACGGCGCCAGCAGAAGAGGAAGAAATCTATCAGATTGATTAATCAAAAATTTTTTCCTGGTATTTAAAGGAACGTGTTTTTCACTTAATATCCTAATAATATTTTTATATTTTCGTAATTTATGAACATTGGCAGGTATATTTCCTCTCTCCGCAAATTATCGCATATTTTGCACAGAACTTTAATTTGATCGGGAGTAGCTTCTTTCCATATTGTTCTTCCATGAGAAGGAGTAGTTTTTGCTAAAAGTGCCAGCATATAGTAATTTTTCTTTACGTTCTTCATTTTATTAGTAAGTATACCCAAAAAATACCTTGTTTATCCGGAAAACACGGATCGCACACCGAAAGTTTGTTTATTTTTAAAGTTATATCTCTCATAATTCTATTTTTCGGAAACAGACTTCGCATTATCAGGATCACGCTTACACTATAATGATGAGACTCTATCGTAAACAGAAATGCAGTTTTTGAACTATGTTTGTGCATTAAATCATCAATTATTATTAAATCCAATCCTTGCACAGATTTGGGTAAGTCGTACATGAATGTAATATCTTTTACGTCGCGAAAAAATGGTAAATATACAGAATAGCGCCATAAAACTTTCTTTTTTAATTTTACATAAAGTTTACGGCGAATAATTTTTAAAACGTGAACATCGACCGTCGAGTGCCGCTATCTTGTATGTGGCGCTTGACGTTCGACGTTCACGTTTTAGAGATAAAAGCTTCGGCCGCAACAGCTCTATTAATTTCTGTCGCCGTCGCAGGTAATAATAAAACCGTATGCTTCCATGACTGATCCTGGCGTTAAAATAAATTCTAAAGTATCTTAAATTTAATATATATATAAAAAACCAGCAATTCACATTTCTTATATAATCAATTCAAGTATTGTAAAAAAGTAAGTTTATATAAACACCACAATTTATTTTAAAAATTAATTTTTGTGATTAGAGTGTTTCAAACCTATACTATTTCTATGTCATCTCTCTCATCGAACAGTTTGTCTAAAAGTCACCTTACGGTCTTTCTTCGAGACAGTTTCCTTTACTTGGAGATGAGCCACTTCGGCGGCAGCGTTCGTAGAATTCGCCAGCTCAGGATACTGGTTCCAATGATCAGGTGGCTGCTGTCCAAGTATAGATGTCATCATGCACTCAAGACCTTCCAAGGAAACTCTAGCTGTCTTCCAGCTTGGTCGAGAGACCTCGAGGAGTCTTTCTCTCTTTACTTTTAAGAAGATTGTCCTGTTCCAATCCAGAGTAGAGTCAGTAGCTCGCATTCAAATCCGCCTCAGATGGGACCCCTATGTAATATTTTCCTGTATGCCTACCCCCTCCGGAAAAACCGAACAACACGAGCGAATGACTAAATCATTTTGTCTCCGCTAATCATTAGACATACATGACATTAGTGTATGTAGTGTTGATATATTTTCAGATCATTAAAATACGTCACAATTTGCTAAATTTCTTTTCTGCTACTGTCCGAATTAAGCAAAAACATGGCCCAATTAAGCGTTTAAATTATGTACTAGTTTATTAGTTTGGTTTCGAGATTTGGCCCAATTAAATTAAACAGCTGCCCCAATTAATCGGCGGCCCAATTAAACGAAACCGACTGAACTTATCACACTTGATTTGAGTAAAATTTATACTTTCTTCTACCGGTAATTTGGTGTATTTTATTCTTTGTTTTCGTATATATTTGATAATCATCTTATATTTAACGTATTGTCGAAACATCAATTAAAGTAGTATTTGCTAATTGTATTTAATTACGAGACCAAATTGACCATCTTTATCTCAAATTTAATACTTTCGTAAATCTATAAATTTTTTCTGGCTTTTGCACTAAGAACAAAACTCTATTAATTAATTAATTAACCCCTTTTGACCCGCGCACTTTTTATAAAATTTTTAATTAAGCATAAAAAAATACTTAAAACTGAAAAACACGAAAGAAATGCGTTAATTTTGAAGAAAAAGCTGCGATGTTTATGTTCCTTTGTCTCGCCTTTCTGCGAAATTTAACACCTATGAGTCATTGTTTATGCAGCTGGGTGACCTTGAACACAGTTGGAGTCGGATTTCCCGGGGCATTCTCATAGACGTCTCGGGAGGACAAGGGTTTAAAGAAGGGTGAATATGAGCGACGCCTATATTTTTAAATATTTTTAAAAAATTAAAATTTTAATTGCGATTTCCGACCCCCCTAATTAATTAAATTAATATATAAAAAAACGATTAATTAAAAAAATTAAGAAACTATTGGAGGTCGTTTTTGACATCAAAAACTAGCTTTAAATAACTTTACCGAAGTAAAATCCGTGCACTACAACTTAGGAACCATGAATGAAATTTGATAAAAAAGTCCCATTAAAAAACAATTAATTGTTAATCACGCGTCATTAAAATCGCGATAAAATTTTTTCGCGCGGGCAAAAAGTTTTGAAAAAATTTGGAGACAAAAAACATCCAAAAAAATAACTTTTTTTCAAAAATAGCCTTAAGGACCGGTTTTTTGTAACGCTAAGGACCACACTCGAGTCAGACTCGTTCAAAGCTAAAATATTCAGAAAATCCCGAGCACTTTCAAATTTCACCGCACTTGTCATTTAATTCAAAATTTGAAAAACAATCTATTTCGAAATACAGTGTTTAATAATAATAATAATAATATATTTCAAAAGAATTTTACGTCATAACACATTTTAAATTCTGTTTACTGGATGACTATAATAAGATATAATCGCGTAAAGTTTCGTATTGCTCCAATGACAGAATGCAACTTTTAGAATGTTTGAAACTGTCGATAGTTTTCAATGTAACCAACTTCTCGTCTTCACTTATATTAAATAATTTCCGGATGTCAGACAAATACAAATTGTATTTTACATTAGTGAACTTATTGAAATAATCACCCACAAGATATTTTACGCCAATAAAATGAATGTCTACGTTAATTACTTTCATTACTTGAAGGAAATCGATAATGCGTGAAACAGGTTCTCTTATATCGTATAAGTTATTTGAAAACTCTCCCCGAAGTGAAAGAATAAGATAAATCTTAAAATTCTGCATAAAACCCTTGTATTTCGAGAAGTAATGTTCGTAATCCTTCCGTCCTTCCTGTTCTTTATTGGCCTCGAGGAAATATAAATACAATTCTTTGAATTCATACAAGTCAAACAGCTCTGGAAACTTAATCAGTAATTTCCAATAACGAAATATTACTTTTGAATGAGAACAAAATTGTTGCCAATTTCTTTTCAGTTTGATTTGTCTGTGAGCGCGGAGCATGAATTGAGGCGTGAACATTTCTTTGTTTACATATGTTAAAAACTTTTTGGATAAAGGTTCATCCTTATATAATCCCATTAAAAATAACAACTCCATATCACGAGTATAATATGGAAACGAAATATAACCGATATATATAGAAAAAGCTGAAAGAAATTCGCCAAATGTCTGATGAACAAATCTGTAACAAATGATATTATCGCATTCATAAAAGGAACCCAGTGTAAGAATGTCCAGCCCAGTAATAAAATTGTATTCATCCTCCTTCCGGAAGCAAGCCATTAAATCTTTTGATGTGACACCGATTATATCCTTGTTTAATCTTGTTAATTTCAGTAGCAAATTTTCTCCCACAAAATATTTTCCTCTTTTAAATTTACCTTCTTGATTAGTTTTTCTCACGTAACGTTCTGTTATAAGAGTAAATATTCTGATGTATAAATCAGCCATCGTTTCAAGCTTTTCCATTTTTCCATCTCGATGAAGGCAACACGACATGTGCAGCATCAGAGGACATTCCGATATTTTTCTGAAAAAGTCATTTTTTGTCAGTGCAGAAATAAGTTCGTTTGCTTTACTTTCATCATCTTCAAAAATTAATTGAATATATTTTTCTTGATATTCTGGAGAGAACCCTTTGATCACTATTCTCATCTTCATATCCTCTCTGATGTCTTCCGCTGCTTGAGGTCGACTCGTTACCAAAATAGTCATATTTCGAGAAATGTCGAAAGATTCGTCCCTTATAAATTTTATAATTTTAGATTTATCTACCATTTCATCGAACCCATCCAAAATCACCAAAACGTTCAGTTTTTTATCTTGCAGTTTCCAATTTTTATCAGTTAACTCATGAACATTATCGAGTAATGCATCTTTCACAGTTTTATCGTTCAATTCTCTTAAAACTAGAAGTAACGTTAAATCGAAGTGTTGCAGATAATTCTCGGATGCCCAATCGTAGGCAATTTTCTTGCATAAAGTAGATTTACCATAACCAGGATCTCCTGTCACTAAAATAGTTTGGTGTCTATCTTGTGCTATGGCAAATATCTCATTTAGACTTATTTTTTCTCCGATTCTGTTTCCAAATAAATTTGTTTTCCTTACAGTTAATTCTACAAAGAAATCCTTTAATGAAAAATCGTCTTTCTTACTTTCCCACAAGAAAGATCTCATGTAGGAAAAATGAGTTTCATATTTTTGCTTCATCTTATCGCTGCACATGTCGAACATTTCTATAAGTAAAAACATTATAATTAATCAAACATTTTGTTAATTTTTTTATTTTATTTTAGTATTTTTAATTATAAAGCTTATTTCCTGTTTATCGGTATAATAAGTTTCCTTTAATTCTTATTTTACTCTGATGTATATCAGTGTTATTTTCAACTTTTACTCTATCGAGGACCGGTAAAATTAGAAATAATTAAACTTGACCATCAACTATGCTTAATTACAGGCTTATTAAACGCCCCACTTTAACCCAGACTGTCCCAGTTTGTGATTTTGTTCCGGTGATTTAGTAAAATGTTAAAAGTGCCAAATATACAACAAGTAAAAATAGTGTAACCTCTGGTAAAATAGTGATTTGTTAACTAAAATATTATCTTTCTGTTACACTCACTGTTGCCAATCTAAATATCTTGTATCTATTCTAAGTACATTTAATGTTGTCTACGTGTTTTCCCCAAAATTTATAGCATGCGGCCTAATGAATTTGGATATTTATTTTTTTCATTCGTATATTTTTTCATAGAATTTATAATAGCATGTTGCCTATGAGATGCGAATATTTATACTTCATTTTTTTAGATATTTTGCTTTAATTAGAGTTGGCAAGACTGAAATTTACGTTGGCCACATCGTTGTTGAGCACGTCCTATCTTAGTCGAGTTCAAATTGCTTTAATTGAATGTACAGTTCAAAAAATGGCATTTTCAATTATTTTGTACCGTAAATTAAATTAATTTAATCTGTAAAATGCGAGGAAGAAATTGAATTTTTACTGATGAATCAAATGAAGATCGTCTTTTTCTAAAGAAGGTTGTGACTGTGTTGACAAAGCAAAATATAAACTGTGCTTCAGAATTTTCAGTGACACATAGTGTGCGTTCAAACATTAAAAATCACTTGAAATACGAATTATACCAATTATACGAAATTAAAAGATAGAATTATATAGTACAATGTTGAGCAAAATGTATAGCCGGATATACACTATCTGGCCAAAAGTATCTGGACACCCAGTGGTACGGACTCGGAGAGTCCTGAGGCATATATTAAAACTAACTAAATTACTTATTTACTTAATATATGTTTTGTATAAAGCATTTTAAATAATTAAAAATATTCACGTAACGTGGTAACATAATTAAATAATAATGTCGTAATTAATTAATACAGTAAAGTAATTAAAGATATTGATTCTTGGCACAAAAGAATTAAAAAATTAAAATAACACAGACTTTCCCTTTCTATGTTTATTATATATGTTATTGTTTATAAGGAACAAACATACAAATGTAACTGATTTTTGTACTTAAAATTTAGTTTACAAAATAGAAAAAAATTTGTTAAAATCGATGAAAAGGTTTCTAACAAATTTTATTAAAAAAAAGACTTTATAATGCTTTTTTCAAGCTGGTTTTTCTAATTAAATTAAACTGAAAAATTAACTGAATTCTATTATTTTTATATGAAAATATATTATGATATTTTTAAGATATAAATTTTAATTTTAAATAACTTAAAACGATACAAATTAAAAGTGAATATCAAATATTGCTTAGTGTCCAGATACTTATACCGTCATGGCGACTCATCTCTGATTCCAGCAAACAAAAGAAAGGAAACAGTGGGGACGCACGTTCTAACCTAACCTAACCTATTTTAATAAATTACCATAATTATTACCAACCAAATTATTAGAATAGGTTAGGTTAGGTTAGGTTAGAACGTGCGTCCCCACTGTTTGCTGGAATCAGAGATGAGCCGATTGACAGTATACGTATCTGGACTTTAACCCAAATATTTATTCTCGGCACACAAACACAAAAATTACAATTACAATGACGTTTCCTCTGTACGTTTATTGTAAAAACACGCACTTACCGTCTTTTTCTTTGTCTATTTTCTCTATGAAACTCGCTTTTGGTTTTTCGTAATGAATTTCAATTTTTGTTCCAAAGTGAACTTTTTCACAGTCCTTCAGCATCGTTGGAGATTGATTACAATTCTCGACTGAAATTAATTAATATCATATCAATATTTTATTTTTATTAAATTATTTTCTAAGTATAATTAAATGCATTTAAATCATAATGAAAATTGTGCACGTGTATCTCTATACATATAATACTAATAACTTTCGTGTTTGAAAAACTTTCGATAAACGATTATCGGCGTTAGAAATATTAAAATACAAGCATTTAATGTCAATAAATTATTATATTTTAATTTTTAAAATATTTTCCTGGATTTTCTGTATTCAGTTTTTGCATATTTGTTCTCAATACTCTGTCCTCGTGTTTAAAAATGAAATAATCACTTGTGTTTAATATTCATTTCTGTCTATTTTAATTTTAAGGAACGTCTCCTTAAAAAACTAAAATAAAGAATTCTTCACATTTCGGATAGTTTAATGATTAAGCATATTTTTTATTTTATCAATAATACAACTACAGTAGAGCGTCGTTTATCCGAAACGTCGGTTATCCGAAAGAATTCCAGTTGACTAAAGTATAATTTTTATTTGTTTTTATATTTTTCAATGTATTTATTTCATTTGTAAAACATAAAGAAATCATTTTTAACGATACAATAACCACAATTATTGTTTAAAAATGTTTACGTTAGGCTTAACATCGACGAAAATTCAACGCGAAGCGACACGCAATGGAGAAAAATTTCAACACGGGATAAATTAATATATTTTTTCGTACATGATCGGTTATCCGAAAAATAAGTTATACGAACAATCCCAGTCCCCAATTGATTCGGATAAACGACTCTCTACTGTAATTCATTTTCACTGACCACAAAGATAAACAAATATCCAGAAATAAATGAGTTTTTAAGAACTCCTCTCGTTACAATAAAGTATAAATTTATTTCACAAAATAAAACACACAAAAATATTTACCGTTTAAAAGTTCCTTAAACATGTCTATATTTTGCCTCATTTCATCCATTGCCTGCAATTAAAGTATTATGTTTATCATACTCTTTAAACTAGTCTACAGTACAGTTTATAAAAACTTAATTAACAACATAAACTGTATTTTATATTAATGCATCAATATAACGTTATGAGGACACTCGATTTGAGTTAGAAGGTCTGAAATAAATCCTGGTAACTTCACTGTCCTATTGTGGGGATATCTATTATAATGCACGAAGAAAGGTTAAATACGTAACTTCGTAACTGTCACTGTTTGGAATTACAACAATTAATTTTCCATATAAACAATTAAAAGTTTGGTATATTGACAACAGTATCAACATTTATAAACCAAGGTTAGATGATGACTAAACGTTTCGCAAGCTGTAAGTATAAAAATAAATTTTATTCAGAAAATCGGACACAACTGGTGTCTTCTTATTATATAACAAATCAAACAACAACGAGCAAAATAACAGTTTTCTTTTATAGAAAATATTTCTTTAAACCCCCATCTCAGCCACAGAACTGTGGTTCGTCCGTGATCCCTCCATTACTATCTACTGTGTTATTGTTCACCGATTACAGTTAGAATCATTATTCAACTACGTGAAACAAAGTCGAAGCTACAGTAAACGTAAACACATGTAAAGAATTCTGTAAATCAGAAAGACAAACATTTCATATATTAACTTATTTTTAAAACAAATGCGCGTAAACAGCAAACACAGCAAGCATGGGTTTCAACTAACACAGTATACCGATACGTAGCGATAATTTTCATTTATACTTTATATTTTATACATCGAACCCTGATTTACCCTACTTTTGCAATACGTAATAATTTTTCTAACGTAAAACAATACGGATACTAAGTAACGTATTACAGTTTCTTGGACGAAATTAAACAAAACCTTTCATTCATTACGAAATAATAGCTGTGTCACAAATCAATTATCTACAGTTTACATTAAAATAAAATGGATTTTGCCAACTTACCTTTGCAACTTCTTTGTATTTAACTGGACGAACGTCCACACTCTCCTCCTCACTTGAAACTTCTGCTTCTGCCATTTTCTTAATTCAATACGTAAATAGTTTCTGCATAAAATATAAATATTTGACAGATTTCTTCGTTTCACTTCAATTCTATGGAAATATGATTCTAAAGTAAAGATATAACTATTAACCTTAATAATGCACATACCAGCGCAAGACTTTCCTTTTCGAAAATTCCTATAATTATGTAATTACATCCTAGATTTACCATTGACTAAACTCAGCAACAGAGAGAAAAATATTAGGTCTTATACGAGATTTTTTTTCAGGAATGTAGACTGTCCCATTATATATGAGCTTATAAGAGTAACAGACAGCCAATTCGATGTTTTCAGGATTTTTCAGACATGCACACTTCGAGATCCTGCACAATTATGACCCAGCTTATTCAATTGTAATATTCGTTATGAGTTATTGGTGTTTCAAAGACGGTATATCCTGCAAAAAATTCTTGACTTCAGCTCTTTTTCAGATCGTTTTAGACTGAGGCTTTGTGGATTTCTGAGTGGCATTCGGATCGAAACAAATGTCTCAAAGGAATTAAACAAATTTTTTTGATATCTACTGTAACAAATGACATTAAGTAAACTTACAGAAGTTTTCTTATTTCAGCTTCCAGTCGTAAAAACAGATCGAAGCATTTCTCGAGCATAGTAATGGCACGTAAGTGGAGAATTTTTAAGACAATTGTATAGTGAGATCTTTCTGTTTTTCTCGCACCCTGTCGTCTATCTTCTCCTTCTGTCACTCACTAACTTTCTCTCTGCTTTACTCTATAATGTTCTTCCTTGTCATGTAATTCTTATTTTCTTTGTATCTCTCTTTTCTATGACTCCTTTAGATGCCAGACAACATTATTAATCGCATTATGAGCGGCAACACTTTCCAGTAATTGCACATAATAGAAATTTTTTTAAATGTTTTATTACACAAGTATGAAATATTTCATAACAAAGAGCAAAAAGCTTCTTTATCTTTAATTGTTAATCTTATTAGTCATTTATTTCTAAAGAACTATTTATAGGAAGCCGGGTATAGTAAATATTCCGGGGTGAGACAATATGAAGGTTTTCGTATCATGAATGATATGTGTCTATAGATGATTGCTAAGCAGCGTGTATGCTTGCAATTTTAAAATAATGTGAACAAACTGTTGCGATAGAAGTTTCGCAATTGTTTGATCACATTGAAGTTATAGCGTAAATTTTAGTAGCTGTAAAATATTGAAGATTTTAGTAGAATAAGGACACATTTTACAGAAGAAACTGTCGTACTCCTGTATAATTATACTCCTAAACTATACTGAATCTTCGGAAAATGTGTGAAAGCAAAGTGATTACAACCAGGAATGTTATAAGTACTTAAAAGTAACGCATTTGCTTTAACCGATAACTTTAAAAAAGACGAAAATAATTATAATTTGTATTCCCTATAATATAATATAATATAATATATTCACTATAAATACATAATTCATGCTAAATTTGAATTTCTTGAGCCTAGTTCTTCGGGAGTATGACTGTAAGATTAGACAGACTGCGGACAGAACACACACGGTATTTTGAAGGGAAACTTGACTTACCCCACTTTGGAGACTACAGCATTAGAATATACCAAGTGTATTAAATAATAATAGCTACTCGATAACAGGAAACAGTACTCGAAAATTATAGTGACTACGAAAGTTTATCTGTATTAATTACTGCCTTCCTATCAAACCAACAGTTGTGTATTTTGATCTAACATATTAATCTATATACAACTACAATCAACGTGTTCGTTTGATAATACTTCTAAAGGGGTACAATATCAACTATCAAACTATCTTATATTTCAAACACCGAGAGAGAGAGAGAGAGTTTACATAAATCTTTAAGTATAATACCTCTATTGGAGCAACGTCCCCGTCTGTAAGCATACAGAGAGGACTTCGGAGGAGAGACGTTCGGAGAGACGAGTCGGCCCGGAGAATGGCGGGAGTCTTCTGTCACCTGTTTCTATGACTGACAAGTGAGTCCGTCTTCGAAGATCGGTTGAGCGCTCTGTTTATTCTCACTGAGTGTGGAAATTTAATCATGACTTCCGTTGTTGTGGTCCTAAGTGTTCCGTTGTGTTCTGTTGTGACGAACCGGGCAGATTGTTTATTTCTCCACCAGGTGAGGTGACTCTTATTACCATTTGATTCTGATGAAACCGTGTTGTAGTTTACCTTGCTTTTTTACAGACACACTACGGTGACATTATTAAACACTTGGCAGATTATTTACCACTTTATCCAACTGAATAAAGTGATGAATAATCTGCCAAGTGTTGAATAGTGTCACCGTAGTGTGTCTTTAAAAAAGCAAAAATCTTATTACCATAAAATTTAAACAGTGTCGAAGTTTTCACGTGTCAACAATGACGTGTTGGGATTTATCTACGAAACTTCCTCAAAACAAAGGAAGAGATTGTTGACATTGCTACGATATTTGATCGTCTCTTGTTTATCTGACCAGAGGGAAACAGAAATACCAGGTGGAGAAGAGAGAAGTTTTTTAACTTCATAATTAACCTTATTAAATAACTCCAGGATTTCACAATTGTGTTAATTTCGAATTTAATCTATGTTCAAGTTTATCAAATAGTATTTAAATAACACGTGCAGAAAAAAATCAAGGATTGTTTCGTCATTCTGTAATACATCGATAGTTCTACATTACGATAAGTTTTATTATGTCTTACAAGTTAGAAATGAAAGGGATTCTTCCGTTAGTTTTTGTCAAAACTGCGCGAATGTCACACCAAAAACGAAACTTTAAAATGTATTTATCTTTAAAATAATTATTGGGCTGCAATTTGAAAAAAGTTGCAACAGCCGGCTCCAATGTTAACTATAAACAATCTTCCTGTTTGAAATACAAGTCACGTTATTTACATAAAAAAATTCTCCCTGAATAAAGTTAGATAGATGATCGGCGTGACTCTATTGCTAACAGAAAAAGTATGAGGAACAGGGGGGAGACACTAATAATTTCAGATGGAAAGCATATATTTTAAATTAAGTAAATTAAAAATATAATTAAAATTTTCAACCCGGCATTGTGACGATGTGACAATAAATGATTATAAATATGTTACTTTTCATAAATATATAAAAAGTAACAGGTAAGCCTGGAGTTGCCCGGGCAAAAAATAACAAGAAAAGGTTACGATTATTAGATTATTTCATAATTTTAACCCTTCTATTATATTATATTATAGTATTTGATGCATATAACTACAAATATTGTCTTACGTAACGTTTTATCCATTACAATAATTAGATTTTCGTCACTCAAAAATTCTTGTAATTATCGTAAATAAAAATCGGACGATATTGTTTCCTAGAAAGACCTAATATTCCTGTTTAAAGCCTTCTACATAATTACATATTTTCAATTCTGTTTATTCGTAGACTGAAATATGATACGTAAAGTACACGTAAAGTCTCGTATTGCGGCAATGACAGATTAAAACTCATGTCCAATGTGCAAATTATTTCTCTTTCCACGAATAAAATATCACTTTCGAATGAGACAAAAATTGTTCATAATTTGTATTAAGTTTTGATTTCTTTACCAGCGCGAAGCATGAATTTAAGCGAGAACTATCGAGTATAGATCTAAAAAAGATTTTAGGTAAAGGTATATGCTTATAAAAGTCCCAATACAAATGATTATTCCATATCTCTGATATGGGAATGAAACATAACCGAGGTACATTAATAAAGCCGAAAGAAATTCGCTAAATGTCACATGCACAAAACAATATTCAACATAAATAATTTTACCTATTCGAAAACCTATAACACCAATTCGACGACATAAATAGTGACTAGAAAGTCTTACCTTTATCCCTGTCAATTTATTGTACTAAGTGGGTCTACTGATCACGTCGTTCTAACTGCAGTGACAGCAGAAAAATACTACACCCAGATATTAAAGGAAGTAGTTTTACGTAATTCTAAAAGAACACTGTACTTTAATACCTGACAGGTTTTACTGTTAATTGTTTCCGTGTATTAGTAATATTCTGCGAAAATATAAATTGATAACAGTAAATAAGATGTAAACAAGCTGAAATGTTAATTTTGTGTACAGGTTTTTTACAGAAGTGTTATCGACACAACTATCATACACTAGAAAAATGATTGTTCTTATCAATATTTCTATATTAATAATGGAAGTTATATTTACTGTATGTTATACAGCGGCGACTGCAGACTATAAAAAAGTGATGTAAATATGGTATTCTATTTTGTAACAAGTAAAAAGTTTTTTGTAATAAAACTGAGTAACTAATTTGAAAACAATATAAAATCTTACAGCTTCCTTAAAGATTAAGAAAAGGACAATCCAACCAGGAGGGAGCTCCAATGTATGATTGCTGTAAGTGGTCGATATTAAATTCTATATGCAGCAGAAGTGATATAGCTATTTATTTTTACAAATAAAATAAATAAATAAAGAGCAATATTAATTAGATTTTTTCTGTTTCTTAAATATATAATTATAAACTGACTTTTCCTTTGACCAGTGATCTTTGTAACATTTTGAAGGAAAAAAATATATCAATTGAAAAAACGTGACTTTCGGTTTTAATCTGACGTTCTTATATAGTTAATTGGGGCCTCTCGTCCCAATTGTTTTTACATCTGGAATCGACTTTTATCTACCTAACACTTCTCGAAATTAAGGTATGACGAACAGTGGGAATTTGTCTATAATTTTATCAAATTGAAGCCCAATGACACTCGTATTCTCAAAAAATTAGATAACATCAAGGGAGTCAAATATTACAGTAGTTTATCACAAGTTGTAAATTCTTTTAATAAGAAACTTTTATATAGGCCTATATACAGTAGACCCCATCATAACACGGTAGATACGTTTTATGTTATATGAATTCCGTGTTGTATGGGGTCTACTGTATATATATATTAGGCTCTATAAAAAATTTAGTCCCAAAAGTAACAGGAAGTTTCAAGACTTATCTGTAAGAAAATTTATTTTTATTTATGAAACGAAAAACTTTAAATAACCCGTAGGGTCAACTAAGTGTTATATTTAACAGACTTTTTTGTTATAAAAGATAGTTATAAAGCTTTCTGTTTGAAATTTAAAAAAATACATATGAAATATATGAAGTTTTTATAACAAAATATGGTAATACGTAGCGCCACATACAACTCCATCCGAACAAATATCGCACCTCCATCAACCGCTCGTCAACGCCAAGGCGGAAGACCGACGAACTCTTCTCCCCTGCTCCGGGGCTACACTTGTCATACAAGAGCAGATACCTATACCTTTGTACTTGTCATAAGTGTAAGCATTCTTCAGTCTCAATAAATAATTTTCTTTGTAAAACACTTGTCATCTCTGTATCCGCCACCACTACCCACTCGCGTACGACCCTAGTCATCGGCTAGTGTTCGTTTTTTACTTCGAATGTATTGAAATATGATTTTAAATTTTACATATAACGATTTACCATATTATAACACTTGAATATAACTCCAGGTATATAGGTCTTCATATGCAAGAGGTTATAATAGTCGAATTCTGTTGCACCGATGGACATAAGTAATTTTTTAATACTGTAGTATTATTGCAGTCTGTACATATTGTATAGATATAAAGGCTAAACAATACTTATATGATATAACTCTACGTTTTATACACGGAAATTGGTTTTGAAAATTAACTTTTAACCGGAAATCACGTTGTGTAGATGTGCATCATAAAAATAATATTTCAAGTCAGGACTTTTAGAAAGTATGTAATTACGTTATTAACCAGTGACTAAACTCAACAACAGAATGAAAAAGATCTGGTCTTATACGAAGATACTACCCAACAATATATAACCTTATTACATGTAATAATGCAGCCAATTCAATGTACCCGAGATTTTTTAAACCACATATACTACAACGGCCTGCACAACCATATAACTGCTTTCATTTACAGTGATCTTTATTAGTTTTTTCTGTGTCATCGTTAATATATTTTTAATAAATTATTTAATCCAGCATTTCTGTCATTCTTCTAAGAATATACTCTTAAAGTTTCCTGTTTACATTTTAATATTAACATTCAAAGTAATGAACATTGCATCGAATTTCAAAACAGGATTTCGCACTCGATTTAAATCTATGTTAATGGTGACAAAGGTACAGAGTGTAGTAGGAAGAGTCGGGGATATTGTCGTTGAGTTTCCAGTTTATGGTGGCGTCTGAGAGTACCCACTAAACAAACTGTCTTTCCCTCGCAATATGGCGGATTGTTCCACAGTGAAAACACTTGCGGCTTCGAGTACGCCGCTGGTAGCGACAGAGAATTGCCGCTTCAGTTAGATATTATAGTTCCATGGGCTGAATAAATGTGTTGTGGCGTTCACGGATTTCACCCCCATGGCTAGTTTTGTCACTGGTGGCATACCTGTGTCCTAGCTAACCGTGAACTTTATAACAAGCCAAATGGCAAGACGTGGTTTACGGTATATTCGAAAGTGTAAATTAATATGGTACGCCTCTCGTATAAACAACAACAACAATAATATTTCTGGATAAGAATAATCTGTTTGTTTTAATGTATTGTTAATCTCCATTTACTATTCTTATTCAGAAGATTACAAACCATTATATAATTTTTCGACTCTATTTTTTTTTTTTTCGTTTTCAAAGACAAACAGGGTGAACATAATTGTGCCACACAAGCACTAACATCCATACATTCAGAAATTACCCCCGAATATTTTTTTCATTACTCGACGTTCAAGCTGTTCAAAAAGTCCAAAAATGTAAAAAGTCTGGGTGTCAATTTTATCTGATTGCCATACTTTTCCTCTATTTTAACATCCCGGAAGTAAAAGTCGCGGATAATAGAAGGATTTTTAAACGACTTTGAGCAACGAAGAGCAACGAAGTTGTTTATCCGAGGAAAATTTAGCTGTGATCGGAGGGTCGGCACCTCTTCGACGCTACGTCAGAATCACACCACTGTGTCACACAAGTCGCGACGGGAAATTGGGTTTGGTTACTAACTGGATCACGCGAGCGGTCGCGTGCTTTCGCGATCGGATTCCGATTGGAGGCGGTCGGCTAGACAGCGAGGTGGAAGTGACTCACTTCAATACCAGTTGAACAAACAAATACCCGTTTATTTCAGAAAGATAAGATTTGATATATATATATATATATTGTGCTATAGCGAAATAAACATGCATACATACATGAAAGACAACGGCCATACACAAGGTGTTCAGCCGGTGGAAAAGAAGGTAAGGGAAAGGTAAAGAAAAAAGGAGGAAGAGAAAATAGAGAGTAGAGATAAGTAAAATTCTTCTGAACGACATACATATATCTACTGTACTTTCTACGTTTGTTGTTGGCATGCAGCTTTTAGGCTACAAGGCCGTAGTCCCCGAAGGGTCTAAAACGGTGTTTCCCAACCTTTTTTGTGCTATGCCCCACCTAAGCCTTTCTAAAATTCTCATGCCCCCCTAACATATACAGTGGCTATACCAGGCATGGCCAACATACGGCGTGTCTAATGAATTTATGTGGCACGCGATTAATCTTCCAATATTAGCTACTGAAGTCCGAATAGCTCGATGAAAAATTCTGATGCCTAAAAAGAAAAAAAAAACGTCAACAACTCATTTTCAAATTGCCCCCTTGTGGGGCAACGTGGGCCCCACGTTGGGAAACACTGGTCTAAAAGAAAGCCTGAGTATAGCGAACACCAATCATTGAGTGCCGCCACGAATAGTTAAGTGTAGAAGTTAGTGCCAACTGGCTGTTAGTGGGAAGACTTATATCTACTTAATACTAATAAAACTGAACACGAGTGCAAATCTCAATACTATTATTGATAACAGCTAGGAAGACTGTGAAAACAAACAAACACAACGACAAACTAGACAAGACAAACGAGCAAAACTGCAATTTTTTATTTATTTATTATCTTTTTATTTAACATTATATTACTCAATAGCTAAACTAACCTACCATAACGTAGGACGAACCTAACCAGACGACTAAAGCTAACAACCCTAGTCTAGTTTAATTTAACTTATCATCATGTAACTGGGAACCAAGCTAAGAGTCCCTAAGAGTTTCCGCTTATTGAAGTAACGCCTGACTGCATCAATATCATCGGTAAATCAAGTGACATCAGTTTATGATATTAAAAGTAACTTTTATAAATAATCGTATTCACTCGATAACTGATGACAAAAATAGTGACTAGAAAGCAGGGGAGTGCCGTGACATTTCATGATAGGGAAGCTGTGTTTCTATAAGAAGCCGACTTCCAGGGGCAATCAGTTAATTCTTTCTTTAAATGTATTTTTAATAGATTATTTATCTGACGTACTTAATAAACAAACAAGTTCAATATAATTACCTCTGTTATTAGTTTCAATAGATTCCCTATGCCCGCTAAATGCCAATTCTCGCTTTGATAAAAACATATAACATCTATTTATTTAGATATAATATATCTATAAACCGTAACTATCTCGTTATAATTTTCAATATTTATTTTATATTATTTACTAATGTTAAATTCTATTCCAAATTGCTTCAAATACGAAAGAATCGACGATTTTTCGTGTCTTTTGCCAGCTAAATCGTCAAAGCCATTCTTATTCCACATCAATTTCATTTGAAAATAGTAGGCGAGCCAACAAAACAATTTTTGCATTTTTATGCATTTACAGAGCCATTTTATCGTCAAAATGTCGAACAAATTTTTTATTAAAGCGTTTATATTTAACTTAGGCATTGGCTTTTCTCTTTTAATAATGTTTTCTTTTTCCTTATATGATCTCGAGTCAAAACTTTTTTAAAATATACATTCGTTTTAAAATTTTATTTTAAATAGAGAAGTCGTGTGGCAGGTAAAAAAAAATTGGATACTGAAGAAAAATTCAGAAAGACAACCTTTCTTTTCTATTCCATCGTTTATATTTATTTATTTTCATAACAGCATACATGATAACATGAGAAACCCAGGATATTTTCAATTAAAAATTGAATTATGACTATTTACTGGTTTTTTTTATTATTTATTTTCTGCATAAAATAGTAATTTTTATGTAGAAAACTAAACATTTACGAACTTTAGTAATGTAAATTGTTTGTTAATTGTTTTTATTGGATGAAGTTGTAATAGTGTAGTTCGTATTATATAAACCATCTGAGTAATAATACAAAATAGGTCTTTTAATTGGCATTTTAATCATGGCTGTAGCTCCGACCCAGATGAATTTTTAGTTCAGGCACGGTCTCATCACTTTAACTGTTAGAAATAGGTGCACATAGGATAGGAGAAACGAGTAATAAAAGGCTCAGGTAAATTTCTTCATTCAATTGCAAGTAATTTTGCCAATCACGAAAATATATTTTCCATTTTTTTTAAGTAAATTAGTGCTATACTTGAATAACTTTTAGTCTTAATCAGTCTTCACACAACAAAATATTTATTTCAAAACTCTGTCATTTATTTTATACTCGTCTACATCACCACACATTTTGAACTCGTAGATTTTGTTTCACACATCTGTTCGCTCGTGGATTCTGTTTCACGCATCTGTTCGCTCGTGGATTCTGTTTCACGCATCTGTTCGCTCGTGGATTCTGTTTCACGCATCTGTTCGCTCGTGGATCATCTGTTCGCTCGTGGATTCTGTTTCACGCATCTGTTCGCTCGTGGATTCTGTTTCACCCATCTCTTCACTCGCAGATTTTAGTATGATGTGGTCACGTAAAGTTTCGTATTGCTTCAATGAAAGAATGTAACTGCCAGAAACTTTTAATTTGTCTCCAGTTTCCAATGCTACCAATTTTTCTTCTTCACTTACATTTGATAATTTCTGCCTATATTCAGACGGATTTAAATTGAAATTAACATCGACGAATCTATCGAATGACTCATGCAGTGTTTTCCACGAAAGACTCACTGCACCAATAAGAAATATGTCGAAATTACTTGTGTTTTTTTCGTGAAGTATATCGATAATCTGTGAAACGGTTGCTCTGATATCGTATTCATTTTCACAAGACCATTCGCGAATTGAGAGAATAACATTAATCTCCATGTTATACTGAATACTAAAGTCGATCAAAGAATAAATTACCTCATTTTCACTTTCTTCGTATTTACGTTTTTTTTCACGGAAATGGAAATATAATTTTTTGAATTCATACAACTCCAATAACTTTTGTAAAGAAAGAGAAAAGTTCGAAGAATCAACTATCAAATTGGCATTCGAACAAAATTGTTCCCAATTTGTAGTCAGTTTGATTTGTTTGTGAATTTTAAGCATAAACTCAGGCGTGAACATTGTTTCCTTCACGTCTGTGAAGAACTTTTCGGGAAATGGTTCATCCTTATAAAATCCTAATAAAAAAAGCAAGCCCATGTAACAGAAATTACCTATACGTGGGATAGAAAGGTCATACATTCCGAAAGCTAAAAGAAATTCGCCAAACGTATAATGCACAAAACTGTATCGATTTGTATTATCGCATTGAGAAAACGAATCGACAGTAAGAATGTCCAGTCCAATAATAAAATTGTATGCATCACCTTTACCAAATTCATTCCTCAATTGTTTTGATGTGATAACCTGTGCCCATGAGTATAATTTTCCCAATTTCAGTAGTAAATATTCTCCCACAAAATATTTCCCTCTTTCAAACTTGTTTTGCTGATTTGTTTTTCGAACATAACGTTCAGTTATGAGACTAAATATTCGGATGTATAAATCACTCATCGTTTCAAGTTTATCCATTTCTCCATTCTGATGAAGGCAACACAACATATGCAACATCAAAGGACATTCTGATATTTCTTTGTAAAAGTCGTCTTCCTCCCGTTTAGAAATGAATTCATTCGCTTTACTCTCGTCATCTCTAAACATTAATTGAATGTATTTCTTTTGGTATTCTGGAGAAAACCCTTCTATCAAAATTCTCATCTTCATGTCTTCTCTGATGTCTTCTGTTGCTTCAGGTCGACTGGTAACCACAATCGTCATTCGACGAGAAATATAAAAAGATTTCTCTCTTACAAAGTTTATAATTTTAAATTTTTCTACAATCTCATCGAAACCATCCAAAATCACCAAAATGTTTCGTTTCCTGTCTTGTAGATTCCAATCTTTATCAGTTGGAGTGTATTCACGCATGTCATGGAACAACGCATCATTTACACTTCTATCGCCTAATTCTCTTAAAATTACAATAAAAGTTAAATCAAAGTGTTTGAGGTAATTCGTGGTTGCCCAATCGTACACAATTTTCTTGCACAGAGTTGATTTGCCATAACCGGGATCTCCTGTCACTAAAATAGTTTGGTGTCCATTTAGTTGTTCGGAAAATATCTCATTCAAGCTTATCTTATTTCTGCTTATCTTCCCAAATAAATCTGTCTTCTGTACAGTCAATTCTACGTAATAATCCTCCAGTGGAAAATCGTTCCTCTTGCCTTCCCACAAAAATGACCTCATGTAGGAAAAGTAAGTCTTGTATTTGTCTTCCAACATCTGGCGGCAACTGTTAAACATTCCTATGAAAAGAATAATATTAATAATTAATAAAATATCGTGTACTTTATATTTAATTTGAGAATTATAAATTATGAGAAAATTTCGTCCGTTTTCATCGGTATAAATTTCTATAATTCTCACTTTTCTGCATTGTAAACGTATTGATAAAATTTTCAGAAATAGTTAAGAGATTAATGAAAATCTTAGTCAATAAAGAAACACAATAACTTGCAGATTGCAGACTGCGTGTAATCTGCTAAGTAACAAAATATGAATGACGTAAAATTATAAATCCAATTAGACGGGACGTTTGATTTTCTAACGTAATGAGTTTCTAAAAGCGTGTACGAAAATAACAACAGCTAAAAATTATTTTTGTGCTCTGTAAAATTTACAAAATCTATCTCCATTAGCGCAGTTTTATGGAATACTGGTATATTGCAGGTAGGACCACCCTGTTGTACAGCTATTCTGCCGTAGCTAATCACAGCAGGATAGCCAAATGGCCATTCTTTCATTAAACTTCAGTCATTACATACGCTTCGAATACATTTCAAAATTCCTATTTTGTTTATTGAAAGAAAAATGATAAAAATATGCTCCGAAATATTAAATACTATATAATTTTTTATATTAATGTCAATACTTCAGAAAAGTATTTGTCTTTTAGTAAATGCTATTATAGAATAATAAATTAATAAAACATAAACGCGACTCTACCAGTTCTTTAAGATAAAATAAATATTTTTATCATAAAAAAAATCTAGCAAACAGTTATGTAACTTTCCTGGCTTTTGTGACATTCTATTCTAAAATTAACATTTGTATTATTAATAAAAAAAATAACTAAAATTGTATGTGACGCCATCTCTTATTATATTTTGTTATTAAATTTTTATATAATTTTTTAATAAAATAAAATAGCAAAAGACTTAATTTTAAGGGTAGAGGCAAGTTTTATAAAATTTTCTAAATTTTAACAGCAAGTAACATTTACAATATTTAGGACCTGTGACCACCCTCTACTTCTCCACCATCTTGACCTTTTACAACTAAAAATGTGAAAGGTCAAGATATGGCTTTTGTATGATTATTGTAAAGACACGCAATTACCATTCCTTTCTTCATCTTCTTTCTTTGAAGAATTTGTTTTCGATTCTTCGGAATGAATTTCTATTTTTGGACCAACGTGAACTTGTGTACAGTCCTTGAGCATTGTTGTAGATTGATTACAATTCTCAACTGTAATTAATCTTTAATTATTTTTTAAGTTCAACCTAATAACATTACATGATTGTAAAAATTAAGCTGTGTAACTACATAATATGAAACGTTTTCGCCCTTTGAAAAAATTTCCGTAAAAATATATTGAAACATAACAATTTTATGTCAGTAAATTATGATGTTTTAATACTTTAAACAATTGAATTTCGGTGTTTTCATTATTGGAATATTTATTTCCAATACAGTAGACCTCCCTATAACACTGTTGATAATTCCGTGTTATATGAATTCCATGTTGTATGAGTCACTTAGATTTTACAAATACGTAAACCGTTCACAGCCCTGCACACGTATTTGTAAAATCTAAGTGACTCATACAACATGGAATTCATATAACACGGAATTATCAACAGTATTATAGGGGGCCTACTGTACTCCGTCCTTATACATATAATAATAGTTTTTGTCTATGATTATTTCTTCTTAAGAGAATAAAATGACAAATCTTTAACACGTGTAAGCATTAAACACGTTGCTTATCAACAATACAAGTAATTCATTATTAGAACCTAATAGAAACGGACAAAGAAAAGCGAATAGCCAGAAATAATTGAATCTTTTAGAATCTCTTCTGTTATAACAACGAAAACGTTTCATTTATAAAATAAGAAATACAAAAACACTTACCCTTTAATATTTCTTTAAATATATTATCATTTTGCGTCATTGTTGCCTGTTAAGTAATACATATACATACATTATTTTTCAAATTAGTCTATAGTACAGTTTATAGAAAGTTAAATTAACAATATAAACTGTATTTAATATTAATGCACCACTGTAACGTGTTAACATATAAGGAAACATTCTGATTATTTAACAGTTATATAAAGACATTTATTATGTTTTAATTAATAATAATTTACTTCCATAAGCTATTTTTCGACACGAATCATTTTAAAAGCCTGACTAAACTGCACAGCAGACACAGCAAGCTTAACTTTTATGTAACATAACCTATTCATAAGTGGAGATTATTTTCAGTTTATGTATTAATTACACGTGCTCACCATAAAACTCTGATTTACCCTTCTTAAATTTTAGTAGTTGTAAATAATTTTTCATATTTATAATCTAATAATTACGAAGTTACATATTTCAGTTTCTTGCACGAAATTAAACAAAACCTTTAAGTCATTATAAAATAATCACTGTTATTTAATATAATTTAATTTAATTATATCCACAATTTATATTGAAATAAAATGTATTTTATGGACTTACATTTGCAATTTGTTTGTAATTAACAGGACAAACGACGACATTCTTCTCCTCACTTGAAATTACTGCATCTGCCATTGCACTCTTCTCAATTGAAATTACTGCATCTGCCATTGCACTCTTCTCACTTGAAATTACTGCATCTGCCATTGCACTCTTCTCACTTGAAATTACTGCATTTTCTATTGCACTCTTCCCCTCACTTGGAGGTTCTGCTTCTGCCATTTCTCTAATTCAAACTCAATGATTTCTGTATAAAATATAAATGTTTGACACATTCGTTCGTTTCACTTCAAATCTATTAAAATATGATTTTAAAGTTAACATATGCCTATTTACCTTACTATAATAACACTTGAATATTCACCCTTAAAGTAATTGTAAAGGATTGTATAAAACAGTTAAAATTTTTCTGTACACTCATGAAGTTTCTTCATTTTTAGGCATGCTTCCGGGGTAAAAAAATTTACCTCACAAGCCTCACAACTTTATAACAAGGCAAATAATGGAAAGTGGGTTGCGGTATATTCGAAAGTGTTAATTAATATGGTACGCTTCTCGTAAAAAAATAATAATAATAATAATATTTTTCGATAAGTATAATCCGTGTCTCTTAATGTATTGTTTAATCCCCATTTAATATTCTTACTCACAAGTTTAGGAACTAAGTTGCATTATGTGCAGCTAGTTTAAATAAACCAGTAACGAATTGCTTACTTTAACTAGTATAAAAACAGCAAGAAGTTTCATTTTCAGAGTAGGAATGACTTTTATAAAAAAATTGTAAATGCTAATAACGAGTTAAATCGCTTTTAAGTCTGACCCTACTGGAGATACACGTCACCCCCATTCTCTCCCTATCTTCTCCTTTTTAATCACCGGAATTTAACAGCATCAATCTCTCTGATAAATAAACCTGCCTGCAAATTTTCAATAATTTTCGATAAAAAGCGCAGGAGAAGCGTCAAACAAAGTGAAAAAAATTGCACCAAACTCACATACTAACATTCATACATACAGAAATTACCCCCCCTTTTTTTTGTTTTAATTTCTCCATGTTTCAAGAAGGAGAAATGCGAATTGAGTAAGGCCAAAAGTGTAAAAATCTGAGAGGGGGTCAATTTTGCCAAATCTCTTTACTTTCCTTCTGTTATAACAGCTGGAAAAGTAGAAATCGCTAATAATAGAATGATTTTTAGATGATTCATTGCAAATGAATATATTGTAACATACGAAAAAGCCAGAAAGTTGTTTATCTGAGGAAAATTTTATTGATAAGCGTATTAGTCATTTATTCCTGTAGATATGCTTAGGGGAAAGATGAGATATTGGGTATACAAATTTTTTTGAGAGTTTTGATTGATGGGAAAATACTGTTTATATACAGGCTGTGTGCATAAAATACCAATAGAACGTGATTTGACACGTGCGAAAAGAGGTTCGAAAAAGTGTGTTATGACATAAGTTTTAGATTTTAATAGTATAATATCAGTCATATTACAAATGTAAAGACCTATTCTGTATACCTAAAATCCTAAATTTGCGGAAAGATATGGAAAACTTTCCAATTACAATGATTAAAATTATAAGTGCTCGCTATGCCCGATATTTTCTTATCTAACGAAAAGAATTTATTAGATATAACGAGAGATTTCCTATAATTTTTCAGTAACATAGAGCTTATTAATAATTGTTAACATTTAAACTTTAAGGCTATCGTTTCTATTAATATATTAGTTTTAAATGATATAGTTTAATGAATTAATTTTAAGAAATATCGAAAAAATCTTACTTCCTTAATGTAACCTGAAGTCGTAAAGATTTATGTATAAACATTTCATACAATTGAAATTATGGCATACGAAATAAATATGTCAGCTTATCGAAGTAGCGCGTGATTGCATTAATGTCATCGTTATATTCAGTGACATCACTTTATGATATTGAAAGGATGTTTAATTGGAGAATTCGAAAATAATCGTATCCACTCGGTAACCGACGACATGAGTAGTGACTAGAAAGGTCTACCTTTATCCCTGTGAAATTATTTTACTACGTAGCAGTTGATCACCTCCTCCAAACTGTAGTAACAGAGGACACTACACCCACGCATTTAAGGAAATAGTTTTACGCAATTTTAAAAGGAAACTGTACTTTAACCTTGATAATTTTTACTGTTAGCTGCTTCCATCTATTGACAAAGTTTTTCGAAAAAATAAATTGATAATTGTAAATAAGCATTAAGCGATGTGAAATGTTGATTTTGTGTACAGGCTTTCATAGTCAGAGAGTGTTATGTATATAATTTTTATTCGTTAGAGTGAACACTGTTTTTATCAATATTTTAATATTAATCATAATTTCTAATTCGTTTCTTAAAATAATAGTTTACTATTATGCTATCGAATAGACCTATTTAGAACTAAAACCCACAAACCTATGTAGATGATATTAATGTATGAACTCATAAAAAATTTCAGCAAAGAAAACTGAAAAACATGCCAATGCAGTTTTACATGTAAAGATAAAGATAATAATAAATTAAAATTCTTAGATATAACTATAAAAAGAAACGGAAAAAAGCCATGCAATGTTAAGAAAACAATTGCAGTCGACCCCCCTATAACACTGTTGATAATTCTGTTTTATATAAATTCCATGTTGTACGAGTCACTTAGATTTTACAAATATGTGTGCCTGGCTGTGAACGGCTCACGTATTTGTAAAATCTAAGTGACTCGTACAACATGGAATTCATATAAAACAGAATTATCAACAGTGTTATAGGGGGTCGACTGTAATTACTTGTCACACAAATCTTAATTTAAATTCGCATCAACCTCGAATTAACACGAACTCGAACATCGGGATGTTGGGCTGCAACTTGAAATAATTGTAGATCTATAGTTTTTCCGGAGGTTATGACAAATGACGTCATCCAACACACAATCGAAGCAAACACTTCCTGATCCCAAGCAAGGGAAAAACACCATGTGGGAAAACTATGATTATATAGGAGTTGTTTGTGGATCGGGTCCAGACGTTCTTCCATACGATGTTAAATTAACTTGATTTAAAGAAATAGAACAAGCAACAGGTTCGAGTGAGTGTATCGTTTGTAGAAGGAAAAACAATGAATTCAGTTTTTGTTACATCACGAATATAAACGAAAATGGAATTTGTATAGTTTGTTGAACAGTACGGTAAAAACGAACATTTGTTATTACAAATACTATATTTAGAAATACAATACTTTAATCGATTCCATTCTACCGAATTTATGCAAAATCTCGAGCACCGCTTGACATTCGACGTTTACGTTTTAGAGATGAAAACTTCGGCCACAACCTCGCTATTATGTAGTGAGAAAGAGAGAAGAGTCGAATGTAACGGAAAATCACATGATTATTGCAACGATAAGATTCGAATATAAATTAGTATATTCATATTCGCAATGAAAGCAATGTATTGTCGAATTGTGACTGAACCTATTGTATAATTTTTATAAATTGACACCCAGGATTGCCTTAAAAATCGGGCTATAATTTGGAAATATTAATTATGAATTACATATAAATTTCGCACACTAGAGGGAGGCGTTAGGCGCCATCTCGAATTAAATTTAATAATTATAATATTTAAATTATTAATTTAGAATAAATCGGCGATTGTGGTTGTCTATTTGCGAAGCATCGGGTTTCGGTAGATGTTTATATCTCTTATTATAAATTGCAGAAAAATATTTTCCTTTCATGTTGAATTTATGTAGTCCCTGAACACTGGGAGTTCGCGCCTCGCTCGGACGGGCTTGCCACATAGGAGTTTTCCGAGTTTTCTCCACGTCTGTAACGCCTAAATAGAGGCCAGTCTCTCTTAAAAAGACCTCCCGGAAGGCATCGCCCAAGTGTTGCGTTGCCATAACTAAACAAACACTCTGTATTGTCGAATAAGAGACAGCTTCTCAGACGAAAATATTTGAATTGTGTAAAGTAGCCAGAGGCATTCAATCATGCGTTTTACAGAACCTCACGCGGTATAGCTAGTGGATGCTTCACACCAATATATCGTATAACGGTCACGGCACGCCACTGGGTGCCAACCATCTACAGGTACATTATCATCAATATACACGGAAAACCCCCAACTTTTTTTTATCTCTGTTTTATATAACAGCCAAGAAAGTAGAATACTGACAGATTAAATTTTAGTATTTGATGGTATAATTATAATAATCGAGTAAAATGAATTTTACTGTTTTGAATGGGTTCTTCCTGTTCATTGCAACAACCAGCTATGACAATTAAATAGTGATTATTGTGCATATAACATAAACAATGATTACTTATTTACACTAAAACACCAAACGCAAGCACTTAAAAAACGTTTTCATTCGTTCGCGCAGTTAGCAATTTGCAAGAGATCAACACCGAACTCCTGTGATTGGATAGTATGCAATTAAAAGCACAAATAATTTTACTTGTTACTTAATTATTTATTGTGATATTTTTACAATGTAGGATTGCAAGTCGTATTTTTAACTTATTTAATTTAAAATATATCTGTTTATTTCCTTAACTACACTACCGTAGATAAATATTAGTTTCATTATTAATAAAGAAATACCGAGAATAACAATAAAATTTCTACTGTATGATAATAGTATTGATAACCATCGTCAGACTGTGCAACCGATACACAAAATAACCTTTCTGCACCCTTACCGTTTATCTACAATTATCAATTTATTATTCTGCTGAATTTTATCAAGGGGTGGCAGCAGTTTACGGTAAAACATTCAAGGTTAAAATATAGTTTCCTTTTCAAATTCAGTAAAGCTTCCTGCGGTTGGAGCGTTTGACAGTTGTTAATACAGTTAGAACAAGCTCTCGTCTTCTAACAAATAAAATTACTTCATAGGAATACGAGTATACACGTCATACACTAGCTGTATATATGTTCTGGGAGTGATGTTACCGGTTATCGAGTGGATAACCGATAATGTAACTTAGAATTCTCGACTGATAGATACTTTCAATATCAAAATAATCACGAGTAAATTTCCTGATGACGTTGATGCTGTCACATGACGTTGATAGATACATTTCATGTGTCATATTTATCAATTGTGTGAATTGTTAATAGGAAACTCGGATGTGGCACGAAACTTCGCTTTAGGAATTCGCTTCAATTCAAAAAAGTAAGATATTTTTGATATTTTTTTAATAAATAAACTAATGTATGAAATACAAATAATTAAAAATTCTATAATTATTTATACAAGCTATTGTATATAGTGTTACTATTCAATAGTGAATATCTACTATTAACTTTCGTATTATTATTATATGTGATGTATTGTTTTTATTAAATAGGGAAATTCCGGGCATTCTGAATAGGTTTACTATAAGCACCGATAATTTTCATCATTATAGTTGTTAAGCTTTCACATTTTCCATGATGATTCATTACAGTAGGATGTAACACAATTGAAGTTAATGATGATTAATTAATTGCAATTAGGAAAACTTCATGTTGCCAGCCCGTCCGAGCTAGGCGCAAACCCACGACCGAACTACGGTGTTCAGGGTAATAAGATTGCTTGGCAAATCTGCTGTATGGCGTCTCGAGAGATCTGTTAATATGGCCAAAGAGGGGTCACCTATTCTTGGGCTTCCGTGGGACCAACACTCTGAACTGTAGGTGTCTCGTCCTTTTATTCGTTTAGCCTGGGAAACTGATCGTGTGATCCGCAGTTGTTTAGAAACGAAGGTTGATTTCGCAGTTACTAGTTCAGCGATGACTGGCATTGACGCAACGTTGTCTCTTACTTTCCTCTCCTTTCACAATCGGATGTTATCATTTAGCAACTGACTGTTAAGATTATCATTCACTTGTTGACAGACGGGCGTCATTCGATCTGTATATTGTGCTAATGATCGCGACGGATGTAATATAAAATTTTCTCGAAGATGGAGCAAAATATCACCAAAATCACGAACGTCACGTTATGTTTAATAAGTACTTTTTAAAATATTTTGCATAAATAAATATCAATTACGCAGATTTCCTATTAAATGTACACAAACATTTTTATGTATGTAAAGCAAACTTATACTATGTAAGAATTGCTTTATATCCATAAACTACGTGCAGACTGAAATAATAATGTAGAGTTAAAAATTTATCCGTGTAGAAGAATTCGGCTACAAGTCAATTTTGCAAGTGAAAGCCTACACGCATAGCATTACATTCGATTGTTATATGTAAAGTAAGTATTTATGTACTGTACTTACTATAAAATCATATAACAGTTGACCCCCCTATAACACTGTTGATTATTCCGTTTTATATGAATTCCATGTTGTACGAGTCACTTAGATTTTACAAACACGTGAGTCGGGCTGTGAAAGGTTCACGTATTTGTAAAATCTAAGTGACTCGTACAACATGGAATTCATATAAAACGGAATAATCAACAGTGTTATAGGGGGGTCGACTGTATTATAATTATAAGTAAATTTTTAATATTTATTCGAATTGCAGAAATGGCACAAGCTATAATATCAAATCAGGAGAAAAATACAGTTGTTCTTCCAGTTAATTACAAACACGTTGAAATAGTAAGTTATCAAAATGCTTATTGTTTAACCAAAATTATAGATAATTGTTCAAAATGGCGTAAAAACTATTTAATGTCGTCTTATTACATGAAAAAAACAAGATACTGTATAAAGTTTATTTCATTAAAATGTACTGTAGACGAGTTTTAAAAACTGTAATACAGTAAACATATTTAATTACAGGAAACGGATGAGATGAAGCAAAATATATATCTGTTTAAGAAACTTCTAAACGGTATGTACTATTTTATGCATTAAGTGTTTACGCAAAGTCTTCACACTTGTTTCCAATACCCAAATACTGTATTGGAAATAAATATGAAGACTTGTTTAACATTGTATAAAGTATTAGAAAGAAATATGGCAAAAATGAATGTAACAAAATCCAGGAAATACGTTAAATTTTAAATAAAAGACAATACTCTATTGAGAATAAATTATTGTCTTTTCACACAGAGACAATTAAGGATTTATCGATGTTTTCTTTAACATGAAAATCCTTCATGTTAAGTATTAAAAAACGCACAATTTTTAACATTATTTAACTGCTATTAAAGTATAATTTTTTCAGAAATATTCTATAAAAATTGAACTGAATATTAATTTCAGTGGAAAATTGTAATCAATATCCGACGATGCTCAAGAATTGTACACAAGTTCACGTTGGACCAAGAATAGAAATTCATTCCGAAGAATCGAAAGCAAGTTGCTTAAAGAAAGAAGATGAAGAAAGTAATGGTAAGTGCTTGTATTTACAATAAACGTACAAAAGTGACATCATAGTAATTTTAATTTCTGAGTTTATTTGTGGTACCAACTTCTATCAAGACAGATGGACCGTTCGTACTCACAACGTCAATATTTCGAACACAAATCTGTACTTTATTTCATTAAATTCACATGTGCTTTTTAAAACTTTATATATAGCCTATACAGCATAGTTGTGTGAAAATTATTGAAAGTTTACCATAAAGAAGGATTCAATTCCTTTACTTATGTGTAAATAAACTAAAATGTTTTAATATGATTAACTAAATTTGCTCCTTTTTTCTTACAGAAATGTTCAACAATTCCTGCCAGAAATTGAAGAACAAATATATAACTTATTTTTCCTATATGAGATCTTTCTTGTGGGAAGGAAAGAGGAACGATTTTCCACTAAAAGATTATTTTGTAGAATTAATAGTAGAGAAGGCCGATTTATTTGGAAAGAAAAGTGGAGAAAGAATACGTCTGAATGAGATATTTTCCATAGAAAAAGATGGGCATCAAACAATTTTAGTGACAGGAGATCCAGGTTATGGCAAATCTACTCTGTGCAAGAAAATTGCCTACGATTGGGCATCCACCAATTATCTCCAGCGCTTTGATTTAACGCTTATTGTACTTCTAAGAGAATTAGGTGATAAAAGTGTGACAGATGCATTACTCGACAACATCCACGGACACTCATTAATGGATAAAGATTGGATATTACAAAATAGACAATTAAACATTTTAGTGATTTTGGATGGGTTCGATGAGGTTGTAGAAAAAAATAAAATTATGAAATTTATACGGGAAGAATCTTTTGATATTTCTCACCGAATGACTATTGTGGTAACGAGTCGACCTCAAGAAGCAGAAGAAATGAGAGAGGACATGAAGATGAGGTTTTCGATAGAAGGATTTTCACCAGGATATCAAGAGAAATATATTGAATTAATGTTTAGAAAAGACGAGACTAAAGCCAATGAACTCATTTCTAAACTGAATGAAAACGACTTTTACAGAGAGATAGCAGAATGTCCTCTGATGCTGCATATGTTGTGTTGTCTTCATCAAAATGAAGAAATGAAAGAGATTGAAACCATAACTGATTTGTATATCCGAATATTCTCTCTTATCGTTGAACGTTACGTTAGAAAAAATAATCAAAACGGTAAGTTCGAACGTGGAAAATATTTTATAGGAGATACTTTATTAATTAAATTAGGTAACTTAATCAGATCAAAATTCAGGATTTCATCCAGTGATTTGAAGAAGTATTTTGCAAATAAAGATGAACACAACTTCATCGTCGGATTGGACATTCTTACCCTCGATTCCTTTTCTGAATGCGATAATATAATTCGATACAGTTTTGTACATCGGACATTTGGTGACTTTCTTTCAGCTTTATCGATATATATCGGTGATGTCTCATTTCCATATTTTATTTACGAATTGGAATTATTGTTTTTATTGGGATTTTATAAGAATGAGTCTTTTCCCAAAAAGTTCTTAAAATCCGTAGAGAAAAAGTTTTTCACAGCTGAATTTATGCTCCACGCTCACCAACAAATCAAGCTGGAAACGAACTGGAAACAGTTTTGTTCTCATTCAAACATTAAATGTTATTTTTGGAATATCTGTTATTTTCAAAAGTTAATGCAACTATATCGATTCAAAGAATTTTATTTACATCTCGGCGATTCCGAAAATGAATACAAGAAAGTCAAAGAAGCATTATTCGATTCTTTATGCGATTGCAATTCTCTAAATACACTCAGTATTTACCTTGTACTTTCACTTAAAAATAGAAATTTGAAGTATATACGCGATATTCGAGAACCCGTTTCGTGCATTATCAATTTCCTTCATGCAATGAAGACGAGTGGTTTTGATATTTCTTTCATTGGCTTAGAATTGTCTCATCGTCATCCGCTGGAAAAGTTTACCAATGTTAATTATAATTTGAATTTACCCGACAATATTCTAAACGAGCTAAATGTAAGTGAAAATGAAAAATTAGTTGGATTGCAAACTGTAGATATGGAAGATTCCAAGAGTTATCTTTTGTCGTTGGAGCAGTATGAAGATTTACGTGGTTATATCAAATTTCATTCCACTGGTAAACAAAATTCAAAATGTGTGATTATGTAGATTATTAAATGATTAAAGTATTATTCGATAGACTAACAATTATTACTGAATATTTTACTGTTAACTGCTGCCATCCGTTGATAAAATTCACAAGAAATATAAATTAATAATTGTAGATTAGCGGTAAGCGTGCAGAGAGGAAGAAATCTTTGGTTTAATGCGTATTTTTGATGTGATTGCCAAATTACTGTATTTCAATTGAAACAAATAAAAAGGAGTTGAATTTTGGAATATTGATAATAGTAGTAAACTATTTATTCATTGCAATTAGTGTTAAGTGTTTTAAAGATCAGTTCCTTTCACTTTTTCCATTTTAAATTTATATACTTTTACTTCACAACTATTGTTTACCTGAATTAATTACACCTGGATCTGAAGAACAATGGAAGCATTTCTTCTACTAGGAACCAAGTAGTGTGGAATACAAGTGTTTCTTACAATTAAACCTTCAAAATAAGAAATATATTCATCCTTCATACTCGGACCTCATTGTATGAAATACGAGAATTCCTTACACTCAGACCCCTTTAGTGTGAATATGAACATTAGATACTCTTGGATCTCATTAGTATAAAATTCCAGCATTCCTTACACTCGGACCTCGTTTCTCTTGAATGGGCTTTTCTTATTTATGTCCATATCAAACCGATCTCCGTAAGTCCATGGACGATCCTGATACCCGCTTATATACATAAGCTAGTAAGGTTTTTTTAAACTCTTTCCGCCCTGTGAGCACTAAGATGGCCTCTTTCTAACAAGCCCATTATGGGTTCGACCAGGTCCACAATGGGGCGGCCGGGTGGTGAGGGACGGGGCCCGACATATTCAGACGGATCATCTCTCGAAAAATTCCTGGGGGTTTTTCGACCCGTGCGAATTCGATCCCGGGTCCCCCAGAGCGCTAGGCTGCCACTTGATTTGGCCGTCATGCCAGTAGGGGTTTGTGTGACACGATTTTTTTCACCCTATTTGAAGATTAATAACTCCTGTACTTTTTATCGAAAATTTCCCGAATTTTGAAAAAAAGTTTTGTTTATTAGAGGGATTGATACTGTTAAATTTTGGTGGTTAAAGGTCGA